TTATATCTATTCACACGCGCGTGCATGTGAGTCACTTATATTCGTGTCACCTGTAAGAAGAAACGGCACATGATACGAAATAAAAGAAAAAAAAGGCATCAGTAATCATTTTCTTACTCACGGACTGAAAATAACAAGGTATTCAGGATATAAAGACCTCAGCCACATTTACATAACATGTTAGTAAAAGACATTTTGTACTTGTGTTGAAAATGGTCCACTCCTTTTTAAATTTTGTGAAAAATTGTTAACATATTTGAGTGTTAATTTATAACATAATGTAATTATGTTATTTAAAAAGTTTGTGTTAAATTGATATGCAACGTACACTTCTTAGAATTAAAATAACATACAATAATTTATGAGTAAACAAATAATAATGAACAATAATAAAAAATAAATAAAAATAAACAATAAAATAAATAAAAACAAAAATAAATAATATAAAAATAATGTATTTTAAAACGTACGTATTACGTATTTTAACGTAAGTTCTAAGATAAAATATGAATAAAATGTGTAATATTAATTTTACTGAAAAAATTGCTTCTACGATTTACAAAATATCATTAATATTACCTTCTGATGTTTATTTTTTACAATAATTTGTGTTATATATCTTCTGACATATTTTTGTGTTGACCGTTTGGAACATATAAAATGTATTAAATTTAACACTAATTTTCCAACGATTATACTTACATATAACACAATTAAAATTGACAGTCGTTGATTTTAAGATTATCGTTTTATTATTTTGCAAAACTGAATTATGTCTGTTTGAACTTGAACTTTCGTTTCACACGCTTTAAGAAAAATATTTTTTGCAATCACATACAAAGAAAATAAATAAACAGAGGCGTATAGATAGTAAAGAAAAATATTTTTGTAAGAAGACACGTACTTCGAAAAATAAGAAAATTCATTTAATATAAAGAAAGCCTCGTTTTATTCTAAATGTTATGCAGTCTTTTGAGCCGTACAGCAAGCACAATTTATTTGTAAAGTACACACGTATACGTCCTACGAGATTTAATGTTGTTTACTTGTAAGCGTATCTTACGGACAACAATCGTCTAATTAAACTGCCACGCGTAGGCACAAAAGGATCAGAAATTATCTTTATCTGTGTGCGTAATATGCATATTTCATCTCATTTCTATTGCAAAAGATGCATTTCCATTGCATCTTCAACGTCAAAACGAGAAACTGCGAAAACAATCTAATCACAGTAATTATAACCAATTACCTAATAGTTATAAACGTAAGTAAGCTGCACGTGGATTAATATATAATAAGGATAAGTCAGTTTCGCAAAATAATAACGAAATTAGCTGTTATTTTAATTATAAGCAAATTTAGGTAAAATTACTCAAAGTGCACGGCTCTCTTTCTGAACTTAAGTCGGCTGATTTCGCCTATTAATCGATCTCGCGAAAATGCATACTGAGTGAAACCAGAAAACCAGTCAGGATACACGACAAATGTCAAACTTAAATGTCAATGATCGAACTCTGAATTGCAGTATCGTTGCGAGTTGCGACCTGCCAATAATGTGAGTGGGAAGGTAAATTTATTCGAAAATAATGAGAAAAATGTACGTTCTATAAGATAAACAGACTCATGAGATTTATAGATGAAATGTCGAACACGTAATAAATTCTGAAAGAAACTAATTTTAACACGCATAATGTTCTTTGCAATTAAAGTTTTCTGTATGAAAAAAAAATTTTTTCTGTCCGTGAGACAATTTAAAATTATGTCAAAATTTAGAAATCTGTATGTAATTTTGTGCATTATGTAATTTTTTTATAAATATAATAAAATTTGTAAATGTATATATATATATGTATACATATATAAAATATAAAAGTGTTTATATATATATTATACATTTACACATGTTATTTTTATTTTATTTACTTATATGATATTTCAATCTTACACATACGTTCTTACAATAATAAATATATGCCTACGATAAATAATGAAATAGAAACATCCTATCTTAATCCGTACTAAATTAACACATACTTGTTTATATATAATTAATGGACCGTGAGGCATTTCACCTTCACGCTGTAAATTCATCCTTGTCGTCTATAACATATCCAATAACGACAAATGACTCACGAATGCTGTGAATATAAAACAAAACGCACTCCGTACCAGAAGTTCGATATTTTTTTTTCAAATATCAATAGACGTCAATATCGAAAGCATTAGTACAAAACATTAATACAAAATATCAGGAAACAAAAGTCTAAAAATATCGATATTTAAATAAAATATCGGCGCTACATCGTCCATCCCTAGTTCGAGCATTACACTTTTGAATACTGAGAAGCAAACATGAGAAAAATAACTCAATTACGCACGAGCTCAATTATCCATGATGAATTATTGTAAAAGTCGTCCGTAAACATATTTATAATAATTACTCGATTGACGAGAGATCGAATTTAATTTCGATACGTCGATCGGAAATTTCAATCGGAAAATTGAATGGTGTAGTGTCGTCATGCGCGCGTACATACAGGATATCCCAATATCTCCAAGCTGTTTTGCAATGACAGATTCATCGATGAATTTCAAATTGATTTTATCCCCGCGCGCGAGGCGGAAATTTGTTGGAAGACATTGACGGCCGTATTAATTAATTTTTGAACAGTGAGAGATCTCGAATACCGCACGAATGTGTAAATAAATTACGAGATCTTATTTTTCTTTTTCGTGGAGAGAAAACGTTTCCGGTGGAGTTAAGTTCTCAATTACGAAAATTTCCCACGTCAAAACGACCATGACTTTCCCGCTAACTTCCTCTTCTTGAGGAAGAACTAATCTCAAACTCATTAAAGAATCACTAAGAAATAATACGTCGTCGATCTCGGATTACGTATTCGTGATCGTATTTAAATTGCTTCGTGGATGCTCGAATACTCCCAAGGGTTCGTCATCTTGTTGATTACAACAGCAATATTATCAAGGGAATTTTATTCTTCCGCAGGAGCTGCACAATCGAAAGTCTATTCGTATCAATTTAGACCTGTTTCTTTGTTGTTATATTGACTGCATTCAAGTTTTTCTTTCTCGCTTTCATCACACAAACTTCAAATATACTTCAATTTAAAAAGAACAAGTAAGTATATAGTAATTTAAAAGGTCTACCTTAAAATATAATTACATATATATTACATTGTGCATTTTGAAATGACAAAAGTGAGTAAAATCAACGAAATATTTGATTTTATTTGTCAATTTTGTTCAAAATTTATTCACTTTTGTAATTTTCACTTCATTTCAAGATACACGATGGACTTCTTGGATAGCGATCATATAAGTAATTTTTTCGCTGAGATAGAGAAGTGAAAATTTTTATCATTGAAGATAAAGGAGAAATTTTCATTTTTTCATCTTAAAAAAAATTATATGATCGCTATCTAAGTTACAAAAACAGATTTGTCTACCTATATTACCGTGCCCTAATCATGCTCTCTAAATTTCTTAAAGTAAAATCTCACTTTAAAAATGTTAAAACACTGCTATTATTAAAAAAAAGGTTTAAAATTGGCACTCTTGAATAAGAATGGCAGATTTTCATTGTTTTTTTTTCTTTTAGAGTAAAATCCACTTAAAAGAAAAAAGATTTCACTCCTTTTTTGGAATAAATCTTACTTCAAAAATGTAAAATTTCGCTCCAAAAGAAAAAAAAAGTATGAAAATTTGTACTCTTATTCAAGAGTGTATTTTAACCCTTCTGGAATAAAATTTCACTCTAAGAAATTTAGAGAATAGATATTAATTTTAACAGATATTATAATTTTAACACACACGATTAAGTGTCTTGCACATTTCTTTTCTTCAAAAATCTAGGAGCAAATAATCAATTGTAACATTTATATACAAATTTTTCAAAAATACACAACCTTACAAATACTAAGTATTTATTAAATTAATATTTAATACTGAGTAATTAATAGCTATTAAAGTATATGTATATATATATATATATATAAAAGAATCACTTAATAATTTTTGTTAAAGTGATGAAAATTAACCCGAGACACGAATAACCCATCGTGTGTATTAAGGATTAAGTACAAAGCATAAAGGAACGATTAATCTTTACTGCGTTCTATCGCGAATCGATGTCTCATATCCGCCCCCTCGAAACCGGCGCCGAAGAAAGATGATAGGACTTTCGCGTTGCTTGCACCTTGCATTTGGAAAATCTGCACTTTCTTTCTCTTTAATACGCGAATATAATTTATCTCGTTTTAAATGCAAAAATTTAGGGGGATTTTTCAAGCACAACCATGCCCGGCGACTTGACTTGCTCGTGGACGTGGAAATTTTGACCGAAGAATGTGAAAGGACGAAATAGATAGTCAGATCACCAAGAGATGATCTTTTTCGTTTTTATTTATTCTTTGTAATCTTAATGTCATTTCGTCATTTGCATGCAGTTGCAAAATTTACTGTTCTCCATTGATTCTAATGAATTCATTCACTATTTCAAAGTTATCATCTATATCCTTCGATGCATCCTTATATCGGATATGTAGTACTAAGACCAAGTTGTACTGTTAGCTTACTGTTAATCTTTTTTCTAATTTTTATAATTAGAAAAAGATAAAGAGCAAATTGAACCGAGATTAAAGTTAATCTGCATTGGTGGAAATGGGCATTATAGTCGCTTTTGCGTCATACTCGATTTGACGATTTTTAATCCAATTCTTTGATTTCTTGGATGTGGATTTTCACACCGAGCTAAATTTTGGATGTGAAGTGCTCCACAATTCGACACCACAGTCGTCGGGCCTGAGCACAACGCAGCAAACAGATAACAGACCTGATATCTTGAGATGCACGAGAAGGCGGTGCATCATCATGCTCTATATATACGTGATTTAGCTTATTCGCGGAGAATGCTCTCACGGCGAAGCGCCGTCGAGAGCAAGTCGTTAATCGCCGGCGCGCTCTTGGTTACGCTCACTAACCTTGAAGTGGATCGATAGACCTGGCGACGAGGCTGGTGTCTGTTTTGGCGATGCGACTTCCTCAACCGGTGCACTGGGACGGAGGCGACCGGCTGTCACTTTTTGTACCGACGACGAGTCTGACGACGACCGCGTACGTGCCGCTGGATGCGCCGTAACAGCGACGGAGCAAAGGCGATTTCACGTCACGTCTCGAGCGCGCACACGCACAACACGACCACCACCACGTTCAGACCGCGACAGACCGCGCCGCGAACGAGCGCAGTGAAGTGCGGCGCGGTCGTCAACGTTTCATGGGCCACGTGACCGCCCGATGTGCGCGCGCACGCCGGGAGCTGCCGTTACGCGGGAAACGGGGCGTTTCGAATCACGCCACGTTCCACGTGTCGATTTGCGTCTTCTTTCTGTCAGACTGGTTAGATTGATTGCAGATTGGAAATTAAACAATGAGATAATTTTATAACCTGATTTACGTTTATCAATTTTGACCACGTGACCTATTTTAATGCTAAAAATGAACGTCGAGCATCAACAACATAAAACCTATCAATCATTAAAGTATATTTTTCCGAGTTTAACGTTGTATAAATTCGCTCTATTTCGCGTGCCTTTTTACATCTCTCTTACAATTAGACAACTTCAGATCGTAAACATCTTACACTCCCTAAAGAAAATTTCCCGTGACACGAAACTTCTTTACTTAGGTGATAAAATTTATAATAAAAATCAGCGCTAATATTAAAATATTCAAAAGTATCATAAACACTTCGTCCGCCTCGTTTCCGCTGATCCGCGTTAACAGATTCGCCCGCGATATCGGGCGACTGCGCGACTGCGTCAAAGAAAAATCGATACGACCTCGCTTCGACACGCAACGTGCGCCGCATCGCCCGTTCCGCCGTTTAACATTTCGCGATGCATCTAAAAGATATGGATTACGACGACAAGAATAACGCGCGTACTTACCGCGGGTAATGGAATCCGATGAGAATTCCCTCGAGTCCTCGGGAAGCTGACGTTCCCTCCACAGTAATCCTCAACGCGCAAACGGTTTGAGAGACTCCTGTCGGGCGAAGCGCAGCTCGCTGACAACCGGAAGTTGGCTGCGAACCCCCACGCAAGTCGTCGACGACGTAATTCGAACGGTAACCACGGAGACGTCACGACGGAACAATGCGCGGGTAAAATAAAACCGATTTAAACTCGATCTATTCTTTTATTTTTTACTTTTTTATAACAAGCTCGTACTTTTATTTTATTTTTTTTATGACAAATGCCGTTTCTATCATAATATTAGTTTAATCTAGGGTTATACTTTTTATTCCATTCTAATTCTATGAAAAGGATGAAGAATAAGTTAAATCGAGATTAAAGTTAATCTACATTAATAGAAACGGACAAAATTCGCGTATTTTAAATTTATACATACTTTACTCGTGTATTTTAAACTCATGTACTTTATTTACCCGTGGTCCATGTAAAACATAATATATGTATATAAATATAACGTAATACATTATATGTGCGCGATCACATCAATATATAATATAAATCTCGTTTATACACTAAATCTTGATCAACATTACAATTTCTCGCCTAAGAATAATTGTAAATGTAATAACAAATTCGGTCACTTGCGTAACATCAAATTAATACATACTAAAGCTGCTATACATGAAATTAACAAAAATTTTAGTTAAATGTAAAAGCATATGAATATATTTTGAACAATTAAATAATAATATGCAAAACAGAATATATATCATTTCATTGTCTAAGTTGATTATATTATGCCATTGCATTTAGATATTTTATATAAAGCAGTTTTTTTAATGCACTTCAATCCAATGTAGTGCGAGTGACCAAATTCACCATATATATATATATATATATATATACACACATATATATATATATATAATATGCGTAACATAACAAACATGATGTGTATATATATATTTATTGAGAATAAATTGATCTGATAAAATAATCTGCGTAAATAAACCTAAAAATATTCGAAAAGAAACTCACATTAATTTATAAGATACGACCTAATGATATCGGTTAAATTTCAAATTTTTCGAACCAATTTACTAATTATGTTTTTCAATGATTGATATAGATTCGTTACTTAAAACTATCTCTTTTTATGTTTCCATGTGTTTGTATAAATCTCAAAATATTAAGTAAATAGTTCGCACAAACTTAAAATATTCAAAAAAGTATGATCGACCCGCGTGTAATATTTTTTGTTTCTAATTTTGGTTAGATATTTCTAAAACGTGAAGAATGACATCGTCCACCGTTTTAGTTGTCAAGAGAGACTTCACCGTTTCATCATTCACCGTGTCAATGACAACAGTGAATAGAAGCTTGACGTTTTGTCGTAGTCTCTCAGTGAACACTATGTTGGTCTCCGATGTTATCGGCTCGTGTCCGCATCTTCTGATTACAGCCTCGAGGACGTCTTGTATTGGAGCATCCGGCCAACCAAATAGCTGCCAGTATTAAATCAGTACAATTAATTTAAAAGGTAATGTAACAAAGTTAAATTAAATTAAAAGAATCATACCTGTAACGTTTCCTCATCAATAAGCAATGTCAAAAGATCTACGATGGCTTTCAACAACTCGTCGGTGGAGAGTCTTTTAGATTTGCCGGTTTTCATTTTAGCAGCAGCGGTTGCTGCGATGTTATAGAACTGCGTTTTCAAATGTTTCTTCTCGACCTCGTCCATTACGTCCTCCAACAGTTCCCGATGTTTCGCCCGAATGTGTCGCATCAAGCAATCTTGTCGGATAAACACTCTATTGCATTCGACGCATGATTGGGGTGGTTCGCGTCTGTGAGTGTTAAGGTGCGCTTGCAACGATGATTTCACCGAGAAGGCTTTCGAACACTTGTCACATTTGAACGCTGAAACGCAATGCAAAAACAAATTTGTAATACAATAAAAGTAAAGTATTTTAAAAATATTACATACATTTCTTTGTAATAATTCTCTTTTATAATATACATATCGCTTACGTTTGATGCCAGTGTGTAACAGTTTATGTTTCACCAAATCCTCTTTTCGCGTGAAACCCTTATCGCAGACTTCACATGTAAATGGAATTGCTCCCTCGTGTACGAATTTCTTGTGGATATTTAAACGTGCCTTCCGATTAAATGCCTTATCGCACACGTCACAGTAGAAACCATTTTCTCCCGTGTGATGAAACACATGTGCTCTTAATTGCGCTGCTTGAATGAACGATTTGCCACAATACTGGCACACATGTGGTTTTTCACCCGTGTGCGTCCGTAGATGACGATTCAGCGTTTCGCGAGCGGCAAATTTCCTCTGACACTAACAACGCAAACTCTTGTATTAGTACTCGCGTAAAAATGCATTAACGGAAATTGATTGCTCTTGTAAAGTAAGAAACTATGCGTACTTTGTGTATCTAGAAACATCTTTGGTTCAGTACCAGTCATGTACGATTAAAAACTTACGGAAACACATGTCCATTAAGTTAGCTTGTAATGTAAAATAACACAATAAAAGTTAGTGTTATTATTCCCATACTTAATTATTATCAAGAGGAATACGTAGTATTAAGAAATTGTGTAAATATTTGTACTCTTACAAGTGCGTCAATTCAATAAAAAATACTTACGTATTTACACTCAAATGGCTTCTCTCCGGTGTGTACACGGCGATGCTTTTTCAGCGCCAGTGACGACAGAAATGTCTTCGGACATAAATCGCATTGGACTGGACGCTCTCCCGTATGCATGCGTTCGTGTACCAACAACTGTTGGTATGTAAAGAATTCCTTCGGGCAATAGCTGCATTTCTTTTTTTGTCTTTGAGGTGTACCCGCGTGAGTACGTAAATGTTCCCGCAAGTTATCTTTACGCGTAAAGTCTTTCTTGCAAACCTACAATATCATTCATTTGATCATTATAATCTCTAATTTTTTTCTAGAATCTTTAATCATTATATACTTATTATCTCTAATTTTAAAGAATTCTCAGTGGATAATTGTGTACTTACTTGACAACTGAATTTATTAAGTATGTTACCGTGACAACCAGACTGCATTATATGTCGATTTAAGTGATAGCTCCGAGAGAAATAAGTGTCGCAAGGTTCACATCTAAAAATAAATTTTGTGTAAAAATATAAATTGTATAGACTGATTAATAAAAATAGAAAATAAGAGAAATTATTATAAAGTTTTGAGTTAAGAGATTTTATAACAATAATTTTATATTTGATGAAAACAACTTAAATCAATGTAATGTTATATTTTATATCATTACAATAAGCAATGATTGAGGAAATTATTTAAAGAAAATTGCATACGCATACGAACGTACCTAAAAATTTTGCGATCTCCATGTGTCGTATAACGATGCTTATTTAAAGCTTTTTTATCATGAAAAGAAGAACCGCATTCATTACACGTGCACGAATCGCATTTCCAATGTACAACTACAATGTGTCTACTCAGAGATTCTCTTTTCTTGAAGCTGAGGTCACAAAGTAAACACTTGTGTTCTCCGCCGTTATGGGCCGTCTTCAAGTCCTCCGCGCAGCAATGGCACTGTGTTTCGGGCACAGGCTTGATAACAGGTTTTTCGTTATTGTTCTTTTGGCCGTTAGAATCTGAATCTAGGAGTATATAGACAAATAATAAGATTCTTTGTATTATGAGAGTGAACAAATAATTTTTAATGCACAGCCACAAACCTTCAGCATTTAAATGTGGATCATCCTCATCCTCATCCTCTTCATCTGAATCGTAACTTGCTATATTATCAAGCATGTTGTTTGAGTCATCTTCTTCCCTGCATGTGTCTACATGTTTCTTCAACATCTGTCTCAGAATTATAAGACACAAACCATTAATAGAAACGAAAAACATGAGAAATGATGGATACATAAAATAGTCTTAAAAAAAACTTATAACTTACATCCTTTGATTGGAAAATACGTTGACAAGTTACACATTGATAATCTGTTACAATCGAAATAACCACACCTAACAAAATAAAATAAATCATAATGCGGAGAACAGAAAAAAAAAATAAAATGAAGTATCAAAACTAATATTATATAATTTTGTAGGAATTAAAAATATATTTATATTTTATAGAAATTATGAATATATTTAGAAATATACATACAAGGCGTGTCTTAAAATTTAGTTTTAAAAATTAAACCAAAAATTAAAAGCAATCTATCAAACTTATCAAAGATTATACTATCATATTTCAGTTCTTAACACATCCTTGAATATCTAAGTACTTAAGAATGTATCTAAGAACTTAAATATAATTGTACAAATAAATACTAATAAAACAAAGCTCTCAATGTCAAAACATTAAATAAGACAATGTAAAAGGCAAATTTGAGAATCATCGTTAAATATAACTAAGAAATCAATACATTAAAAAAGTTAAAAATATAATTAAAACAATTTAAACTGCGTAATTATATTTAGCGATGACTCTCAGATTTGTCCTTTACATTGTCTTATTATTTATTATAATTGTACAATCCTTAATGTATATACAAAATGTAATTAGTATAATTACCTTTCGTGTTATCAGTGGCTGATCTATCAGTCACATCCAAAGATTCGTCTTGTGAAAGGTCTATATCTGCAAATCCAGAATATGCACACAGTTTTAAAATACTTAGAATTATAACAGTAAAAACATTTTACTTTTGAATGATCAAATTACCAAACATGATCCCATCAGTTTCATCCACAATTAGATCCTCACTACACTCCTCAATCTTCAAGATTTCTGCAAAAAAAATTTGTCGTGTCATTTAAAAGAAAAAATCCCTAAATATATAAAAACAAATTAAATCAAATAAGTCTATGATTTCTTGTATATGATAATGATAATTTTAATATCTCTATATATTATTTTAATTAATTTACTAATCAAATTGTTCTAATGTGCATAATTTTTTAATCTTTTCATTATCTATTAGAAATGTATAAGCATAATATAAAATACAGAATATTTATATATATAATTATTGCATAAGTACCTATATAAGAAGCTACATTTTGAAGTTGTTTCATCATGTTTTGCTTTCAATTTGTTTATTTGAGTAGAATCACAGAAGGAACACACAATTTATAATCTATCATTTATACAACATTCGCAAATGCTTTCGACGGCATGTGATGTCTTACATTTCATTCATAAAAAGAACTCCTAAGTCAACTTTGCTCACCTATCTTTTCCATTGCTTTTGCCATCGTGTCACGTAACAATTTCTATCTCCAGGATGTTTCCTTATTCAACCATATGAGATTTTGCCTTTGAACAAACCAGTCTAGTCTTACTTTCTGCTTTCATTCCGCATTAAGAACATCTGCAAGCAGTAAGCAACATTCGGAATATCAGTCGTTCGTACTCGAGGGATAATATCTGATCATATGATCGACCTCGTATTCTCGATTGAAATTCGTGCGTACAAGTATACCTGAAAAAGGAAGAGCGAGCGAGTGCGTTTGCCCCTGAAGGAACAGGCCCTTTCATCAGTCCCGATGCAACGTAAAATGGCCTACGTCAAGGGGCGCGTCATCGTCCTCCACGCGTCCGCCCCGTGTTCTCTCTCTCGAGCGATCTCGCCAGTGTCGCGTCGTCGCTGAAAACAACGAGGGATGATCCTCCTCGATGACGATCAATTAGTGATAGAGTCCAATTTGTCGGAGCAAGAAACTTCATCGGAATAGGCAACAGAAGTGGTGGTGTAACATTCCCACCACGGCAACAAGTAACAATTTGTTGCTTCTGGCCTGCTCGTTCGCTATTGGATCATTTGGGTCTCGCATACGCGACTTCGGCTTCAGTGGTGCTCAAATCAAAAGTATCGTTCGTTTTGTCTCTCGGCAGCTGCTCGGAGTCGCTCCGAACGAACAATACTGAAGCCTTGTTCCGAGAGAAAATACTAACAGGACAACGGAAATTTCTGCGTCTAGAAATCGTTCTTCGCGATAATATGCGACGACGTATAAAATTTTGCGAATTTGCCTTTCGACCAACGTAAATATTCTCACAGAATTTCTAAAAATTTATCGTATCGTGTACTCTACTTAAAGATTGAATATATATTTAAAAGGAAAGGGAATTTATTTATAAATTTTTTGAATTTGGAAACCTTGCGAAGTCAACAATGCTTTAACGCAATTTCTCCATTTATACACGCAGCACGTTTCAAAAGAGAAAGATGGATAACCTGTCAGCTGTCACGAAATCTCATCTCGCGACAAGATGAGACGGCTGCGGATTGGCTGTGGAATATGAGATCACCTGAAGTTCCTAGAACTACCAATCCGACGACCAATCGACACGCTCGACAATTTCGAGTCCTAAAGCGCGTGCCAAAATGTACTAAAAATATATATATCTATATGTAACAATATAAATATAATATAATTATTAACATATACCAGTATAATATATAGATATCTATATTAGTATCTACATTAATCTACATTAATCTACGTTGCGTGAGAAAAACAGATTTTTAATAATTTTTCGATAACATTTCGAAACGAAAATCATCAATCGCTTTCTTCCTTTTTTTTTTCAGCAAAACTCCAGACGTTATTCGTTCCGTTTCAGAAAACAGCCACGTGGCTTTGCTCCGTTTTTTCATCGCACGCTTTACGGCCCTTCTAACGGGTCCAAGAAGCGCAACTAATGCTGAATGAATAATAGAACAATTATCGGACATAATAATAGAATTAATTAGATATTTATCTGTTCCCTACTCGTACTTTCTCAGAAAAGGAGCGTTTCGCGATGGGAAAGAAAGCGCAAAGGTGCGTCTGCACCGAGGGTGCGACTCGGCGCGCAGCAATCGCCAATTAAGCGTTGTTTTTCCTCGCGAAAGGGACCCCGAAAGGGTTTTTTCTCCAACCTATAAAGCCGCGGGCGGAAATCGCCCTGCGCGAAAGGAGCGGTCCTTCGCGTCTCTCGGCGCTCAGCGTGGCCTGCGTGGCTCGGCTCCGCCGCATCCGTCAACGGGCGACGCGACGAGGAACACGTGACGACTGGACGCGCATGTCGTCGCGCAGGTGTCGTCCGTAACCAAGAGGAAACGGAGCGGCGTCGGATATCGGCGGTGACGGCGCTCCGCACGTCTTCTTCGCGGAGAACCGGAAGAACGAAAAACATCCGATTGCTCTGCCATCTCGTCCTGACGGTGCTCGCCCTGGATTGCCCCACGTCGCCAATTTGTTGCCGTTTCTCCCTTTTTAGGTTAGATACCCCCGTCCGTGTCATACCGGGTGTCCCGCAAGTATCGGCAAATATTTTAACGATGTTTCCTCGACCGACGCTTCGAGTTTCTTTATTAAATCTTCTGCGGAATGAACTGATTCAATTAGTTAATTTATTATCCGCTTTATTATTAATTATTTATCGTAATTATTTATTAAGTTCGGAAAAGATAAGGTTTTTAGTTGTCATTTTTTTGAATTTCATATACACATATTTAAAAAACTATAATGGAACGCATGATTATATTTACAAGCTCATTAATTTACTGTTCATTTTTGTGAATTTTAATATTTTGAAGTTATCTTAACGTGCCATCAGAAACTGGTGGTCTTGATTAGTCAATCGCTAATTGTCCTTGTATATTTTTTCAATTTTTAGTCTAGATAGAAACAAATTGCTCAATCCGAAAATCAGTATGTCTGTGACTGAAGAAAGGATCCAAGATTTGAATCAACGTTTCATGGATTTCATGAGCAAGCCAGAGAATGTCGATGCAGCCACAAAGGAAATTTACGAGGACTTGTTGGATGACGTACTGATGGGTTTCGTATTCGACATACATCGTATAACTAAGACTGGCAATTCCGACGTTGAAGAAGGCATTCCTGATGACAAATCTTACGCCATTGTCGGTACATACAGACACAATAAACTTGCAGTGATAATCACTCACACGGTCTAAAATATCTATGTGAATTATTTTTGAAATATTTTGCAAAAATATTTTAGAAATATTATAAGAAAAAGAATATTTAAAACACTCTGATTTCCTAGACATATGTATATTGCAGAAAGATTTCTTGATTTCATTTTCTGAAATATTTCACACAAATCTTACAATGAAATATTTCATGCTATGTGATCATTGAAATGCAATTAGGAAGATGGAATATTTCTATATGCGTACAACTTTTTGCAATTTTTTTTCATTCTTTGTACACAAGTTTGTAACTTTTATTTTCTGTATTAGATTCGCCCGGCCTAGACGTGTTCGGTCAGCACCCGATGAAGAAATCTCAGGAATGCAGCTGTCCAAATTGCGAACGTGGTGTGGCAGCATGCAGATTCGCTACTCATCTGGCAAAATGTATGGGCATGGGGAGGAACAGTTCGCGTATCGCGTCGCTTCGTATCGCGAACAATTCCAAGGACTTGAACACCTACGGCGGAGTGTTGAGCGACGACGATGACGACGTTGATTGGAGTCTGACCAACGACAGCGGCAACAAACGTAAACGTCCGCGCAAGGATCGTAACGGCGTGAGCAAGCGTTCGAGCAAACAGCAGAAGCAACAGAGCACCGCTGGGGGTAGCGGCTCGCAGAGGAATGGCGAGACCACTGTCGTCGGCAGCGGCGAGCACAACGTACACAGCAGCAACGAAAGCTCGCCGTCGAATTACGACAATATGTCGCTCGTAGACAAGCGGGCGTTGCTCACGCAAATTTGTGGCGTCATGTCCGAGCACACGAAGAAACTGTGCACCAGATCGGTACGATGTCCCCAGCACACCGACGAACAACGCAGAGAGATACGCGCCAATCTGGAGTCCAATGGTCAAGACAATCTGCACGTTGACGTGGATACGTATGAGGAGAACGACGGCCAAAATCTACGGGACACATTGACGAGGTGGGATCGGGAGGGTTCGAGTCATTCTAGTCCAGCCGACTCTGCCTCGACCACGTCAACCTCGTCGATCAGTCGGAAACGAGAAACCAAATCCAAGGGCAAAGGGAAGGCCTCGTCTAAGCGCGATCGCGGTTCCCCGATATCGCAGGGAGACTGAGGAGAGAGTTCATCTAAAATTGTTTCTCAATCTAGAAGTGTTCCTCGATTCAGGCTCACTTCCCGCCGACAGAGAAATATTGTACGATAATGTTCCTAAGAGCTGTATATAGATTGAAGGAAGATTCTCCTTTGATGATTGCGAAAAGTTTGCGTAATACTTAATTCTAAATATTATCTACAGCGTCCTTTTGTAATTATTATTTTTAAGAAAATAAATAGCAGCGAATTGCAGAACGAAATATAAGTCAGATACTTGTTATCTTTCCTAAACTTAGATATCCTATTTTATTTGGTTTTTTAAGATATTGATACACTTCCAGTTTGTAAAAAGTTATTTGACTTATAGAAATTATAGAAAATATTGTAAGTTCGAAAAACGCATCTTTGATTTTTTTTAATTCACACGTTAATTATAAAAATAATTGCGAAGGATTTAAGATTGCCTGTTTCTCTTTTTTGCGATCTAATGATCGTTTACTCTCGGACAGTTTTATTTATTATAAAAATTTTTTGTTGCAATATAAAAGGTATATATGATCGAAATGTTGAATGCTATACACGTATAAAATATTTGTCCTTTGTAACATTACATAAATGATAAATTTTCATTATTATCTCTTATTGTCTTTGAAGTTAACTAAGTGCTTCATTTTGAATTGATTTAAAAATTATTAATACTGTTATAAATAAAAATCAAATTACGGAGTACTTTTTCTAAGAAATATAACAGTCTTTACTTTATATTTATTTCGTAAAAAAATAATAACAAATCGTTAAATATCCGAAAAAAATATAGGCGTCTTTGGGAGTATACAAGTGCATGCGATGGATAGGCAGGATAAGTTAATATCATATGCTAGAGTTACTGCGAGTGAATTATAAAGATCTATCGGCTAAGCCGTCATGCAATTTGCACGGTAGAGATAAGGTGGCAGGCACATAGAAGATTAACGATTTAAGCGATACCAAACGTAGTTCGAATGGAACAATCGACAAGAAACGAGGATTATAGTGCATAGCTTTGTACATAATGCAATTTACAGTAAGAAAAGAGCAATACTAAAATATTATAAAACAAAGAAAATATAAAGAATATAAACACTACGTCGATATAATAAAGTTTCTGTAAAAAATTGTAGTAAAGAAAAAAATTAAAAAAAAAATATTTTCTTAAAATTACATAATCATAAAATTAATTCTCACTTGATTGCTTGTTTACTTCTTTTTCCAGCTTTCAAGCAAGATGCAATATTTACTGCTTTGTATGTTTATACTTACACATAATTCAGCATTTTCCAAAGGTAAGTTTTCTATAATTTATATCAAAACTAAATGCATGAGAGTCAATACATAATAAATTGAACCATACTTTATGTGAATAAAAGTGTTATTCAAATTCTTGAAATAAATACTTTAAATTGAATTTCTTCGAACATAATCTGTAAAAAATACAAATATATCGACTTTAATGTTATTAACTTTAGTGTTATTATGAATATATTAACTTTAATATTAAATATGCATTTATAAATTATATGTATAAAAAAGTAATAATAGTTTTCTAAAAGATACTTTAAATAAGTATAAAAAATCATATCATTATCTTTAAGTTAATATAAGATTTATAGCAAATATCTTTGGTAAGGAAAAAGATTTTCATTAAGAAATTCTATTAAGTAGACTTCTATTAAAAGTGCGTGACATTATAATAAATTTAACGATTTGTAGTTAACGTAAATAATCATCCAAACTGGTCGTTATTACGACAAAATAATTGCGGCAATTCAAACACCGATAGAATTATTGGTGGCAAAAATGCAAGCCTCGGCGCGTATCCTTGGCTCGCGAGAATAGGATACAGCATACCGAATGATGGCGCATTAAGCTACAGATGCGGCGGTACGATAATTAGCCGACAATATGTAGTTACGGCTGCCCATTGCGTAGTGAATTTACCTGAAAAGTACGTACAGAATACATATAATATTAAAAAAAATATTATTAAAAAGAAAAGAAATCAACGAGACTCTATATATTTTACCTCAAATGTTCGATCGAAGTAATTATTTTCGGTCGTTAAGGTGAAAAAAGATAAAATAAGCATTTTTTCATTAAATCGTAATTAATTTGCAAAATATATAACGATTTCTATGTTTTTTAATATGTTCAGAATATCGAGAAGATTATTCTTTAGATTATTCGAGTTTTTAATTTTAAGAATTTAAATGTATTTAATATTTATGTTTCTGTAATTTATGTATATATGATTTTATATTATTTAATATATATATTCAAGTTTCAAGATCGGTGGAGTTCGTTTGGGCGAACACAACATTATTACTGATCCCGATTGTGAGCAGGGATATTGTGCGGAACCAGTGCAAGATTTTCTACCCGAATCGGTAATTCCTCACGAGAATTACAATAATCCGGAATACAAAAATGACATAGCTATAATACGATTGGATAAGCCGGTGGTTTATAACGGTGAGTTTATAAACTAATTGATCTTCATTAATTAACAGTCGATTCATCTTCAGTTCTTGTAAGTAAATTTGCTTCTTTTTCTTTACAATTTATATACAGAACACGTGAAGCCGATTTGCATGATGAGAGGTGAACTCCTCAAAATGGACTTCGTTGGCGGAACAGCGGAAGTCGCTGGTTGGGGAATTTTTGATTTAAGTAAGACACTTAAATTAATTCAAGCTAATAAGTTTAAGTTGAACTTCATAATTTTTTCATACCTTTTCGTATATGTCATACATAAAAATCATTTCAATTTCCATTGTAAAGGTATAGTTGGAGAAACTCCTAAATGGATGAAATTGTTTTCTGAAAAATATCTAACATCAGCTTTTGAATTCATGTTAAACGTTGACCTCATATATTTGCCTTCGTACCTTTGTTTAAATTTACACATTTTAATAATTTGCTAAAAATTTACAAATCTTCTCGTTATAGATGATCCGAAACCTAGCACGATCCTGCAAACGGTCAAGCTGCCGATCGTCGAGATGGACAGATGTGTAATAGCTTTTAAGAGATATGCAGAATTATCAGAGGAGGAGCAGATGTGCGTGGGTGGCGTTCCGGGCCAAGATTCCTGCGGAGGTGACAGTGGTGGACCCTTGATGAAAGTGAACAGCCTAGATGGGCCTCCTAAATACTATTTCGTCGGCATCGTTTCCTTCGGCACAAAATCCTGTGGCGCTTCTACTACACCTGCTGTCTACAGCAAGGTTGCGGCGTACACTACATGGATCTTGGACAACGTGCATCCATAAAGAGATGTTCAGTTCTATCTGTAGAAAAATTTATAGTTACCACTTATAGTAGAAAATTTCACATATAATTTTATATAGATACGCAATCGATTTTTTCATCCGGAACGATTTAAATCGGAATTTTGCAATTTTGTAATGAAAATATTTGTCATTAATATTCTTAAGAATATTCTTAAGTAAATCTGTAATAAATATCATATATATCATATATTATATAAACACTATTATTAAAAATAATTTATAACTGAAAAGAAACAGTAAAGATAAAGATCTTCCAATGAAACACAAACAGAAGAATTTTCCTATCTTACAAATATCTGATCCTTCGTGAAAGTAATTATCTTGTAAAGTCGATTTAATTAAGACACATTGAATTTATTTTCTAAATTTACTTAAGCTAATTTACATACTTGTTAAAATCGAATATCGTATCTAATCTTCTTGGAAATGTAACGCACTTTCGACCTTTTATTCATGAAATTCGTGTCACGAAATGCATTATGATATATATACATATATATATATATATAGATGATGATGGTGAAGTCGATTGGCTCACCACTCGGTGCGATTGACTCGCGATCTGTAAACCCCCGAGTTCAATCCCACGTGCGCCCAAACGCGATTTTTCGCGTTTCATGAGCCAAAAAAGGCTCCCACCTGGTGATCAAAAGATCTATGATCATCAGCGCCGTTCGAATTCGGCGTTAAATTTGTAGGTCCTATACACATCTTACCTATTTCTTAAAGTGTGCGCACTCATCCGGCATCATGATATTCGCTTTGGCAATAACAGGTATGATGTTAACTCTGTCGTGGAGACGTTGCATGAATTCCACATCGAGCGGTTTCAATCCGTGACCGGAGGGTGCGACAAAGTAGAGACAACAGTACCTTCGACTGTCTGTAATGTGCTGTCTCGTCATGCGAGACTCTGCACTAAGGAATTCTTCATACTTTAATTCAATATAGTTTAATATTGGCACCCAACTGAATAAAAACAGAATATAAAGTGTTCAAATAAGTTATACAACTTCAAAAATGAATATATGTGGAATTTAATTGCAAACTTTAAATTGCTTCGTCAGATTACCAATTGCTGTTGTCCACATAGCCAACTAGATATATCGACGACTGTGAGGGATATGTTTAGACGTTCTCCTTCAATAACACTTTGGTGCTTTCCACGGCAACTGTCTTCTTTAGACCCGACTCTCGGCAAATCCACCTTGGTCAACTCTTTGTTCCTGACGGACACATACAGTACCGAATATCCCGGACCCAGTCTTAGAATAAAGAAGACAGTTGCTGTGGAAAGTATCGAAGTATTATTGAAAGGAAATTATCTAAATCTATTCCTAACAATTGTCGATTTACCTAGATGACTGTGGACAATAGTAATTGGTAATCTAACGAAGCAATTCAAAGTTTGCAATTAAATTTCACATATATTCATTTTTGAAATTGTACAACTTATTCTTAATAAAATTATATAAACTAGTTATGGACTCTTTTTTGTTAAAAACAAATAAACAAACATAAAATTAAAGGCTATAAAGAGTCAAACGCAGTTAACAATGCGAAAAAATTTTTTAATAATCTTACAAATTAACAATAAGATGCCCCGTCGAACGTTTCGGTCTGCAATTTAGACCATCTTCAGCGACGAAATAATAATAAATCAATACTCCTTTTACTCCGAGTTAAAATGCTAGTAGTAGAATCAATTCTTGTTGAACAACAAAATGTTCCTGTGCACCAATTAGAGGTAAATACATCGAAGATAATGGATGTGGAGTTGTGTAATGAAATTCCGAAAAATCAGAAATATGTCTCTGTTGGTAGACAAAAACATTATTTCATAATTAAATTCACAATTTAATCATACTAGAAAGACTGACTGTAATAAATATGCGTCCGTGTTCGACAGAAAAAGACGATACAATGAATTTTGTTGTTCAACAAGAATTGATTCTACTACTAGCATTTTAACTCGGAGTAAAAGGAGTATTGATTTATTATTATTTCGTCGCTGAAGATGGTCTAAATTGCAGACCGAAACGTTCGACGGGGCATCTTATTGTTAATTTGTAAAATTATTAAAAAATTTTTTCGCATTATTAACTGCGTTTGACTCTTTATAGCCTTTAATTTTATGTTTGTTTATTTGTTTTGTACAACTTATATTTGAACACTTCCTGTTTTTATTCAGTTGGGTGAACTGAATTAGATTAATCGAGATATGAGGAATTCCTTACGGCAGAATCCAGCATAACAAGACAACACATTACAGATAATCGGGTGCATTGTTGTTTATATTTTATCGCACCCACCGGGCATGGATTGAAACCACTCGATGTGGAATTTATGCAACGCCTCCATGATTAAGTTAATGTCATACCCATTATTGCCAAGGCGAATACCATGACGCCGGATGAGTGCGCATACTTTAAGAAACAGATAAGCTGTATTGGACCTACAATTTAAAGCCGAATCCGAACGGCGCTGACGATGATCATAGATCTTTTGATCACCAGGTGGAGCCATTTTTTGGCTCATTAAACGCGAAAAATCGCGTTTGGGCGCACGTGGGATTGAACTCGTGTCTACAGATCGCGAGTCAATCACACCGAGCGATGAGCCACAATATATATACAATATATGCATATATTTATATATAAGTGCTTAATATGACGCATTACAAACATTCAGGGAACTCAGGGTGTTCCCGCTTTGCATTGCCAGATCTAGATTGCGTGAATTGCGTCAGTTAAACGCGCAATATCATCGAACTGTTTTTTTCCACGTTCAATGAGGATTGAATCACTTTGCGGAAGCATGTTAATGCATTCGAATTACTCACAACTGCAACAATTAAATATAAAACGGGAACAATATAATTTCTTCCGCGAATTTTTATTTGATTTTTTTTATTTTATATTTTGTTTATACACTTTATTTGAAATTATGCGATAAAGCATTTTTTATAATATATATCTTGAATCCCAGCAAATACCAAATTATATGTAACGTATGTACAATTAGCTGTAATTTTTCACTCAATAACTGTAATATATATAACATATACACCTTACAGATAGAGGTATATATTGTTGCATGGGAATTTACGACAGGTACGTTACATATGTAACTTGGTGTTTGCTGGGATAAATGTTTTAAGCCACACACAGGACCTAATGCATGGCAAATCTAACACAATTACAGTTTCATTCAAATTATAAATGCATGTGTGCGATGTTTCTCTTTTGCAAGTCAGTGTATATAAGATCCGATCTGTATTACGCTATTATATGATAATTATAAGTTAGTAGATATAATGCGTATATTAAGATAATCGATCCGTTAGTTGGCTATTAGTGACTCCTTAAGGTTACTGAGATAAAAACATATGCTTATACCATTTGTTTACATTGATTACACAATTCACAATTGTAAGACCAATTTTTCTCAAGTTCAGTTTTTTATTGGCTAGATTGGTGACTCTAAGACATTTTCTTTGAATCCCCTCGATCTAGAATAATTTTTTGTAATGCGTGATTCAAGGGAGGAAGGAGAAAACTTCTGTGATAGAATATGCTTGAAGAGGGGAGTATTTAGATCTTTTAGAAATCTAGGATTTTCTCTATAAAAAAAAGCATATATTATTTCCTTATTTCAGATTTATGATAAATTAAACTGCAATTGGAATAAATTGTACACATATATATGTAAATATTATAAGTATATAACACGTAAATTTTATTTGTTAAATTATACAAAATTATATGTGCAAAATAAATCTGACTATTTATAATAAATTTATCTTTAAGAAAATATATCACGCTGATAAGAAAGCAAATAACGTTGAAAAGAAAGTTGCCATCAGTTAAATCAGGAATCGGGCTTTACAGAAGAACTCAGTAGACCAAAGATTGCAAGGATCAGTGTGTAATATTTGTAAGTACTAATATGTATCTGATATGTAACTTATTTCAGTTTGATTTATTTATTATAGCTCAATTTCTATAATTAACAGAATTTATAGATATATATATATATATATAATATAGAATTTTATTGTAACTGAAAGCTTACTCAAAATATAATAGTTATAGGGGAATATTACAGGAAAAAGTTTTGCTCATTTAATTTATTCCTGTTTTCTGATAAAATATCTGTAGTTTTATCTACAGATTATAAAAATAAAAATTTTTCCCGACCAATCCGCTCCTGCTAATTAGCTTGGCGAAGCTTGTTCACAGCGATGGTGGGGACAGTTGTTGACCCTGGCTCTGGTCACTCTATCATGGATACTATCGTCAGTTGATATTCTGATCTGCGGTAAAGCAGCCATAAAACAGAAGGAGTTGCCGGAACGGAGCGAGTCTTCATTGTCAAAGTGTGCAGTGATCATCTCTTGATATTCGGTTAATAATAACCGAAATTGAATAATTTGCCGATAATGTCGACAATTTTCCTAGTGTTTCTTAAGTTCCTAGCGTTGCTGATCATTAGCATCAATGCGCGTAAGTTGATTCTTCAAACTCTCAAAGATAACATTCAATGTTAGAACAGAAACATGTTGAAGGCTAATTTGTTCTAACTTATTCGTTCATGTACGCTCATCCGCATTCTAGAAAATAGGAAAAAAATATCATAAAAATACTTATAATATTTATCACATTTTTCAAATTTTTGGGGACATTGTTTGAATTCATATTGTTTCTACTTATATGTAAAAGACAAAGAGTAACTTGAATCAGTTACCAAGGTCATTATAATGATTCAACTAAAATTAAAGTTAGTTTATGCACAAATAAATAACATTACAAATAATAGAAATACATTCAACGGATAGTTTGCATGTATTGTTAAAATTTTTTTAACACAAATCGTTAAAAATTTTTTTTAAACATTTAAAATTAAAATAATTATCATAATTTTCATCAAAAGATGACTTTAGCTAGAATATTGTAACTTTCATAAATTTCAATTATTATATCCTAATTTTTTTCTATTATTTTTATATAAGTTCAATACTGTTTAATTGCATTTTTCTCAAAAATAATTTCTCTATACCTTCTAATTTCTTTTTTTTTTATTTTATGTACAAAGAAGGCATAGTACATAATTGTATCAAAAGTTATCCGTGTGCAATGTAAACATAGCATCAACAACTGTTGGTCAATTGAACTGTTGATCAACCATCGCAGGACGTGATTATTTCGATTTGCGACATTATTAGTTATCAATATCTGACACGTTTCCATGAAAACAAAAATTAGATGCCGGTTTTCGATCGCATCTCTCGAATTGAACCATGGCATTGCGTCACTGAATTAATGATCGTCGAGGATCAGAAAATGCGCGTAGTCAATCAGCTTTGTTCGATTTCGCACGCTGCAATACTTGGATAAATCTCTGAATTATAAAATTTATCATTATCTACTACGATATAATTTATATTGTATGTTATTGTACTCGTGTATCATTAATAATTTATAACACATTTACTTTTTTGTATAAATAATATTACTGATTTCTGAAAGAAAGTTATACAAAGAGATCCTTATATAACATAGAAAAAATATACTGACCAGTTTCTTGTTCAGAAAACTGGAAATTCTTGAAGGATAATATTTTAAACTCTAGACAAATAGCGAAAAGTAAAAAACATTGTATGTATTACTAAAACGATGCGATTATGCAAAATTATTATCTTTCGTTTCAAAGAAGCTTTTTGACATAAATCACTAAATAAAAAATCGCGATATTTTTTATAAGAGAAAATTAACTTTTTAATTACATTTATTGGATATGAAATAAAAATATTTCAGTAAGTTTAATAAAAGTAACGTAATTATATTTTCTTATTAATAATATCATTTTTTTATCCTGACGTCTCAATTTTTTTTCGCAGAAAACCAAAACTCGAGAGATCAATGTACCGTCGACGGCCAGGATGGCAATGTTGGCACATGCATAAGCGCACGTGATTGTACATTCGTGTCCAACATCCTGCAGCAATCGCGAGAGCAGGCAATCGCCTATCTGAGACGGAATCATTGTGGTTTCGAAGGCTCAAATCCTTTGGTGTGCTGTGCCAACAGCGCGAGCATCAGCACCCGTCCAAGCGGCGTCGTGACGAACCCTGGAATTGTATCGGGCTCGAATTTGGAATCAGTCCTATCGCCTATCGAAAGTTTCCAGATAGACCTGGCAAATAACTCATTGTTACCGAACGATTGCGGCCGTGACCTGACACAGAGGATTTTCGGTGGCGAACGTACCGAACTCGACGAATTTCCCTGGATGGCACTGTTGGAATATCAAAAACGTGAGTAGAAATAAAATAATTAATAATTATCATTATATAAATAAGATATCATTGTATCATATATAAATAGTTATTTCGTATAATTCAAAGCAAGTTATAATATTAAAAAAATTCACTTTTCATACAGTATCTTTTTAATATGCGATACATTACAGCCAATGGTAGAACGACAGCATGCGGCGGTGTCCTAATAAGCAAACGTTACATCCTTACTGCTGCTCATTGTGTCAAGGGCAAAGATTTACCAACCAACTGGCGCTTGTCCAGTGTCCGCCTGGGCGAATACGACACCGACACCGACAGGGATTGCATCCCGGACGGTGAGAATAGTGAACCGGTGTGTGCCGATGATCCAGTAACCATAGGTGTGGACGAACAAATCGCTCATGAAAATTACCGGCCGCTCTCACGGGATCAAAGTTACGATATTGCGTTACTGCGTCTCAGCCGTGACGTGCCATTCACAAGGTACATCAAGCCGATCTGCCTGCCGTCTAATTCGACGATCAACGGGAAACTCTTCGTGGCTGGTTGGGGCAAGACGGAAACCCGCTCGGCTTCGAATCTTAAATTAAAGCTGACCTTGCCCTTGGCGGAAAAAAGTGTGTGTGATCAAACTTATGTCAGCGCCGGAGTCCGGTTGGGCTATGGACAGATCTGTGCAGGTGGTCAAAAAGGCAAAGACTCGTGTCGGGGTGATTCGGGTGGTCCCCTCATGGCCGTTGAGAGGATCGCCGATGGTACCGGCAAGTGGACTGCTGTGGGCGTTGTATCCTTTGGACCATCGCCCTGCGGTATGCAAGGATGGCCTGGCGTGTACACGAAAGTGTCAGACTTTGTTCCCTGGATTCTCAACAACATGAGGAAGTAAACACATCATCTAAGAAGAAAGTTATCTCTTGACTATTGTTCAGTAATGATTTTTTAAAGTGAAGTGAAAATACGATTAGGTGCGTCTTGTAGAAAATAATTAATCCTGTTAGGGGTCATTTCAGTGATTAAAATAGGAAGTATTTTAAATATTAACAACTTTGTCAAAGTTTCTCTGAAGAAATTGATGAATACGGCGAAGAACTTTGAATTGTGATAAATAAGTTTCATACATATTATATATTAATGAGATAAAAGATGAGATCGTCATTATAAAAATTAATAATTAATTATGATTTTCCTTGCTATTTTATAAATAAAAGGTCCATGAACATACTCAATAATATATTAAGTGACGTAGTTAAGTGACACTAATTGCTCATTCGTTTCATCTGTATTTATATTTTGACATGTTTTATAGCAATACTTAATATAAATATTCTTAGCGAATTTTATTCAAATACATAAAATTCACGATATTGACAACAAATCATAGAGAAATTAATATCCATAAAGGAGTTAGTTTGTGAGAAATGTATAAAAAAGTATAATATTTTTAAGTTTTTAATAATAATAATAAAGACAAATTAAAATTCTTCCTTAACTGTATTAAATTAAAATTACCTTCTTGCTTTTTCGGCCACATTGTTCCCCTCTTTCTCTTTTAATATATCTTAACATTGCTTAAATAATTTATTTATATTTGAATTATGATAGATTTCACACTGATGTTATTTGTTTAATTACGTTATTTCTAAGTTTATCTCTTTTTTTCATAATATCATCACTCTTATCACTGTAACGTGAATCCTTGATGTGTATTGTACTTATGGTATACAGTTTTACGATCCGACAATTTGCGATTTTATGCTACGTCTTTCTGAAAAAGAAACTTTCTGGCAATTCCACTTTATTTTTCAGAAAGACGTAGCATAAAATCGCAAATTGTCGGATCGTAAAACTATGTGACCGATATGATTACGTCATTCAATATTTACATCTTTAATTTCCGGAGTTATCAAAACGAGCGGGATCACTATGGAACTTGACCTATCGATTGACTTATTACGTAGTAACGGTTTATCCCTCGCAACTTTGAAAATAATAATCAAAAACATCGCACTTGAAAATCAAATTCATCAATTAAAACATATCATTAAACAATTGTAATACTATTAATATATATGAAAACTTTCCACATTATTTTAAGAAAAAACGACAAACAGAAAATTTTATTCTTGCACTTTACGAGAGAATAATACTTGAGAATTACATTGGTTAATTAATTGCAACGCTAATCATGTGGTAGTAATTCGTTAACGTATTAGACTTCCAGAGATAATAAATTCTTTTTCAATATCGCGAGCAAACAAGTGTTCGTATTTTGTTGTGATCACAGATTACAATATACACGTACGTCTGAACATAACTGAAACGTACCCTTTTCGGGACTCGGTCTCTAGATCTCGGTATCGGCTGCACCAATTTTATTCGGACTGGTCGCAATCGAAAGATACCGATGACATTATATAATAAAAGTGTTTTTAGATTTTTGATTCTGCTTTTAAATTCTGAGTAATTTTAATCTAAAGTTTCAAGATGTGAAAACTCGAGATAAAGCTAGTGGTAGCGTCGTGAATTTGATATCGACATGAACATATACACACATCAAGTATCATGTCATCATGTCAAACGGTTATATTTTTATTTTATGCACTTGGCGTCGCGACGCTACCGCGTCGCTTGATATGTTTAAAAATAATAAATTATATGTTTAAAACTCTTGTGGAATTAAATACTAAATAAGTAAAGAGATATGTAGCGAGCAACATCTTCGATAGTCGATTTGGAGAAAAGTACTGATATTTCATCGTAATTTTCCTCATGTGTCAACTAATGATTAATAGTTGCACATTTCGAGAGAATAACATAAAACTTTCCTGCTCATGAGTTCGATTATGTTACAATATTATATCTTGGGAAACTCCCGGTGATAATAAAAGTGACGTTTATTCTGGACCAACATTTTCTAGTGAGATTCATCGTAATCTCCTTCCAAACGAGAATAATCTTTAATTAGTTTCAATATCCAACCGGCCTCTCTCTCTTTTTCTTTTTCTTTATCTTTTATTTTAACCTCTCATTCCTTATATATTTTCTCTTCGCGCGTGCCTTTCAGGAAAAATTCTGACGATGGCCATTCGCCTTTACTTTGTTTTTTTATAAGCGGCATTAATTTCTTTTTTAGAAAAGAATGTTTATTTTATCGTTTACATTTTAATTTTTATGAATATATCAACTTACATTCCTTCCTAGAAATTATACACTAACACTGTTAATTAGTAATGATATAGAAACAAATATATAGAGTAGACCATTTTAATAAATACACATAAACATCTCAAAAAGGAAGTTACATAAAATTGTTTAAACATTTTAATTACATATTCATAATTCATATAGCTTATTTCAAAAGCATTCCAAAACGCTAATAATTTTTTTATTAAGTACATTTCGAATTATAACAGGTTCGTAAGTTACAGTACCTACTGCCGGGATTTGCATTCTAAGAAATCCGAATGACGGCTAAAAAAATTTATATTTATCTAAATTTCATAATTTCAACACTACCTAGGAAAAACAAGATTGTGAAAATTCTCCATAAAAAAGAATATGTGTATATTTATAATGACCAAAACTAATTGCACAATTTTTTAAACCAAAATGATAGAATAAAAAATTCAAAATTTTTACAGTTTAAAAAATGTAAATGTAAGCGTAATGTTTTCTGCTTTTCTCAATAATGTAAAATATTTAAACAATGTTTATTTAAATATTTAAAGTATTAAATAAATAAAAAAATTTCAAAGTAAACAAATAATTAAATAATACAATAAAATATGTATATAAAATGCAACTTTGTGATATTAACTCACTTTAAACATAAATCATAAAATTCTTACCAGTGACATTATTTTCACGAATGCCGAAATGAATGTACTTAGGTATCTCCTAAGCTGTTAATTCATATAGTAAGGATTTCATTCAAAATAATAACGAAACCTTTTTTTAAAGGAAAACTCGCGCGTTTTAGATTTTCCTATTAAGCATTTTACGAGTCTCGCGATAAGCTATAATTGGAAACTAATTATAATTAATGAATCATCACTAACAATCCCCACCGAACTAGCAGATTCAATAGGCCCAGCAAGTAATGGAGCTTAGTCGATTGGCGTCCGGCCGATCAGTACTGGTTTTGATCTGACCTGTGGTACATCTCGGTTGAATGCGAACTCGACAGGAAAGACCGATGTAAATCATAAGTAGAATTATTACTATCCCTAACAGACTATAATCCTTTAATCTGAAGGACGTTAAACGGTGAGAATCATCGGAGCGAAACTGGAAAATCTCCACTCGATCTGATCTATAAGAGAGAGAAAAAGAGGGAAAAAAGAGAATTACTATGAAACAAAATTGATTAGCAAAGAATTATATGTTGATACCATAAATAAATATGATGTCCGCCAGCTTAATCGTCTTTTTCCTCGCTTTAACAACAATCAATGCACGTGAGTATTTCATTACGAGTTAATTTATTGCATTTTATCTAAAAAAGAACTTATTTTTTCTTCAATAAAGTTCGAACTGTAAATTCCTTCTTCATATTTTTTTTAAATCGTGTGCTTATTCAAAATCATAAGAACACTCTTGGTACAATTAATTACTATATATGATCACAATTAAATGCGTAACTATCCAATTCTTATCTTTTTAAGATACTTTCTGAGCAAACATTTAAGATATTTCAAATTATTCACAATATGTATGTTTAAAAATTCCGGATTTGTTTTAAACTTTGATAAGACTTGAATTTCATATTCTGTAGTTGTGGCTTAAAAAATATTAATTGATTAAATTGAACAATAATTTACCGTTTTACAGAGAATGAGTGTTCAAATAGTGATGCTAATTGCGTCAACATTCACAAGTGTTCGCAGATCATATCTCTTTTGACAAATTCAACACCGCTTTCGACACAGACAATGCAGACCCTTAGAAATTTGCAATGTGGTTTCGAAGGCACCGACCCAAAGATTTGTTGTCAGGTAACTGAATTTGATTTAAATGTATTAATTTGTCAACAATAATATAAAATTAGAATTAATGTATCAAAATCTAAATTAATAAAGTAAAAAATTATGAATTGTGAGAGAATTATAGTTATTAATAAATCTTTCACAAATATATTATAGCAATATTGTTTTAATAATTGTGTTTTTATATTTGCTTCCTATTATTTGTTTATTTCTTAAATATTACAAGTTAATTTATTACAAGTTAGAAGATTATTTATTGATAGATTTTGATTATAGGTTCGTATCGAAAACATCATGTTATACATTTCGGATTGTTTATCATTTTTCACGTGTTCATGAAATATATTAAGTTATACACACATTGCATCCTGCTATCTCATTGGTGTACGTAATAAAGATGCATCATGTCATTGCAAACTGTTTAATAGTGTTTTGAAATAATTCTAAAATATGTTTCTGTGACAACTTTCTGTTTTATCCTGATCTCGTTGTACAAGCAATATATCGCTGAAGCTTCACTCCCTCTTTCTCCCTCTCGTATATAAAATCTAAAATTTACAAAATATCCTATTATATCAAATAATAATAAAATCAGAGATTTTATTGCAATTAATGTTCCTTTTTTAGACGTAATATTAAAAAAAGACTTTTTCGAATCCAAGCAGTAAGAACGATTTTTCCTCTCAATTTTTAAGTATCTTTCATTCGGCAACGCATTTCACATATTTGCAAAACGTAATAAAGTTTTTTACACGTTGATATTGTTCATTATTGTAATATATTGTTGACTTTTCAATTCAATGCATATATAAAAGTAGAATTTCAAGTTTTTAAAATTTTTCTCATATTGAATATTAATCTTCGGTAATAGGTATTAACAACAACGACAGAGGCTCCAGTTTCAGAAAATCTTCCTAGTCCACCAGATGTGACGAACCATCCGAATCTACGTCTGTTGAATTATACATTGTGTGGGCCAATCACGGATAGTAAACTTATCTGGGGCAACAGGTCTGAAATTTTTCAGTATCCCTGGATGGCATTAATCGTATACGATACTGGAAGATCAAATCCGGAATTCCGTTGTGACGGAACAGTTATCTCCTCGCGCTACGTCCTTACCGCCGCTCATTGTGTCACTTTCCTTCCAGCGGGTAAAGAAAAAGCCAAAGCCATGTTCCTATATAAATATAGTAAAAATCAGAAGAAAATTTTGAACTTAAAAAAAATAAAAAATTGAATTATTAAAAAATGAAGTTTAAAATATACTGAAGAACGTTGTTCTTGTAACTGACAATTTGTGTATTCGATATTCTCCAGGTCTACAACTGATAGGAGTCAGAGTAGGGGATCACGACATAAGTAAGGAACGGGACTGCTATTCGGACTACAATGGACAAGATATCTTGTGTACCGAGGGGTATCAGGATTTCGGGGTGGATAGCTTCCAGGTCCATCCGGAATACACGAGAACAAAACTGCAAAATGACATCGCGCTTATCAGGTTGAATAGTACAGTGGACTTCAGACCTCTTCATGTCAAACCCATTTGTTTGCCTCTTGGCACTGCAACGACATTAACTCGAAAAAGGGTGAGAACTATCAATTTTATAATTACCATAAGGAATAATAAAATTTCTTCAAGGTATAAGAAATTATTAAAAAATATTAAAAAGTTTTACGAGTTACACTTATTTTGCTTCCAATTATTTAAAGCTCTACTACCGATTTAATACGACAAATAGAAAAAGGATTTTTTACATAACGTTTTTCATATCTTTTTCTTTCTCTTTCACAACTTGAAATATTTCATAATTGAATCTCTCTTCGAATTGATCGTCCATTAAACTTCAAGAAAATTCATTTTCTGTCGGTTCTAAAAATTTTGACTTATAATTGGATGTACTTCTCGCTTTTTGTAAAGCTTACATCATTTTTATTTCGTAATTTTGCTTTTGAATGGCAGGTTGTAGTGGCCGGTTGGGGCATGACGGAATTTGGTCCGCGCAGCCAATATCCCCTGCATAAGAAATTGTTATTAGTAGCCAACGAACAGTGTAAAGAAATCTACAGACAGACCACGGAGATCTGGTATAAGCAGCTATGTGCCGTTGACCTCAGAAATACCTTCTGTTTAGTCGATAGCGGTGGTCCCCTACAAGCAGTAAATGTATACAATGATAGGGTACGCATGATTCAGTATGGTGTGATCAGCTACGGAAAGAAGCAGTGCGGCCCTGAGGGATTCCCCGGAGTCTACACCAATGTCGCCTACTACATGGACTGGATTCTCAACACAATGACAGATTAAAGCGAGATTGAAGCATTGCGGAACGAGTCTTTCGTACAGAATACTTTAACACTGAATTTGATCTCCATGCTCGGAATATGATGATACGAACGTGGTAATCCCTATCGTGATGACAATAAGAAAATTAATTTGGCGAGGTGTTCTATAAATACTTAGATAAATAAAATTGATTTCAAAAGATTGGTAAAACAAGTAATATATATATTGACCAGAGTTTTGCTCAGAAAACTGGAAATTATTGATGCATCGCTCATAATGTTCATGGAATAATTTCATTTTTGTCGTTTATCAAATGTTAAATGAGAACAAACGATGCTAATAACGAGAAGTAAAAATAAACACAGTATGTAATATTAAAACAATGTGATTATGCAAAATTATTATATTTTCCAATTAAAAAGTAAGCTTTTTGACATAAAAACATTAAATGAAGATCGCGACATTTTTGTTAAGAACAAATTAACTATGAATTTATCAGATATAAAGTAAAAATATATCAGTAATTCTATTAACAATGTTATTATGGTTTCTTCTTCTTAATATTCTTTTATCCTGACGTCTCATTCTTATTTTTATTGTATACCGAGGGATCATTGTACGAGTACTGTCGACGGCCAAGCGGGCACATGCATAAACGGACGTGATTATACATTAATGCCTAAAATTCTATTATACAATCGCGGGAACAAGTTATCACCTATCTGAGACGCAATTATTGCAGTTTCGAAGGCTCAAATATTTTGATGAGCGTTGTCAACAGCACAAACGGGATCTGTGAAGCTATCACGACATTCTGTCGATATAAAAAAAATTATAACAGTTCAGTAGCACTTAGATATGTCGTGCTAGATTCTCGAAGTTAGCACGACATATCTTCATTTTTAATTTTTTAATATTACAAATGCGGAAATATTGTTTATTTTTATAAGGAACTTTTCATAGTTCTACTTTTATGTAGAACTATGAAAAGTTTTACTGAAACTGTTGCAATTTTTTTGATATCGAATGTCGTGTTGGCTTCACAAATTCGCACAAGCGGCTATCCGCCTATCGAAGTGGCGTTGTGATGAATCCTGGAATTATATCGGGTTGAAACTCGGAATCAACCTTATCGAATCCTATCGAAAATTTTTGGATAGCACTGACAAATAATCCATTTTGTTACCGAACAGCTGTGGCCGTGATCTGTTACAGAGGATTATCCGTGACGAACGTAACGAACTCGACGAGTTTCCCTGGGTGGCATTATTGGAATATTAAAAACGTGAGTAAAGATGTAAATTAATTATTAATTAGCCATATAAATAATATAAATAAATTATCACTTTATCATATAAACAGTTAAACTTATAATTTAGTATAAATTATTAATGTTAAAAATTTACTTTTTTATATTGTACCTTTTTAATATTTTTTTTACAACAAATAATAGACCACGGGACAGCACGTGCCGGTATCTTAATAAATAAATGCTACATCCTTGCTATCGCTCATTGCGTCAAAGGGCTAATCAGTCAACCAGCGCCTGTCCAGCGTTCCATGGAATAATACGACACCAACAGAGATATTAATGACATAAAAAATGGGATTGTTATTACAAAAATTAATAATTAATCATATTTCCTCTCTGTTTTCTATATATATAAAAGGAGTATATATAAACATACCCAATAATATTAAGCTGTGACGTAATTAAGTAACATTAATTGTTTGTTTCACTGCACGTATTTATATTGACATGTTTTATGGCAATGCTTATAAATATTCTTAGCAAATTTTATTCCACCATGAAGTGCAATAAATATAGAATAAAATTTATGATATTGACAATATATCATAGACAAATCAGTATCCATATAAAAGAATAAGCTGTACGAACGGCAATGTATGAAAATGTATTTTTTTAAGTTTTTAATAACACTAATAAAGATAAATTAAAATTCTTCCTTGACTGTACTAAAGAAAAAATTATCTTCTTCCTTTCTCGGCCACATTGTTCCTCTCTTTCTCTTTTGATATATCTTAACATCGTTTGAATAAATTGTTTGCATTTAAATTATGATAGATTTCACACTGATGTTATTTGTTTAATCACGTTATTTCTTAGTTTATCCTCATGTTTTCATAATGAGATCACTCTTATCATCATAATGTGAATCCTTGATGCGTATTGTATAAGATTTATATTTCTGGGAAACGCCAATTAACCATCAATAAACTACAACATGATTTGTAATACTTATTAGCATTCTTATTTATCTAATATAAAAAATTAAATCAATTTCCTGGTAATTCGACCTTCTTTTTCAGAAAAACGTATAAAATAACAAAAAGTCGGATCTAGATAAAAAAAAAACTGTGATCGATGATTACGTCATTTAATATATATTCACATCTTTATTTTCCGAAGTTATCAAAACGAGCGAGGTCACTATGGAACATGACCTGTATCGACTAACTTATCACATGTTGTAACGGTTTATCCTACGCAGCTTCAAAAGGCACAATCAAGGACATCGCACTAGAATATAAAACTTATTAATTAAAATACTTTATTAATAACTTATTAATTAAAATACTTTAAATAAATATTATTAATAAATCATAAATATTAAAAATTTCTATATTATTTTGAGGAAAAATGACAAACAGAGAATTTTCTTCTCAAGTTTCACGAGAGAATAATACTTTAGAATTACAGTGGTTGATTAATTGCACTGCTAATCATGTGCCATTAATTCGTTGACGTATTACTGTTCCAGAGATAAATGTTTATTCAATACGAGCGAATGAATCTTCGCATTTTGTGTTGTGGTCATAGATCACTATATGTTTAAAACTTTGTTGAATTAAAATATCAAATAAGTAAAGAGATATAGGTACGTTATACGTAGCGAGCAACATATTTAGTAATCGATTTGGAGAAAAGTACTAATATTTCGTCGTAATTTTCCTCATTTGTCAACCAATGATTAATAGTTACATATTTCCACATATGACATCCCTGCATAAGTTCGATCATGCAGCAATATTATCTTGGGAAACTCCCGATTATAAAACGACGTTTATTTTCGAATAAATTTTTCTGGTGAGATTCGTTGTAATTACCATCTTCTGAACAAAAATAATCTTTAATTAGTTTCAATATCCAACCAGCTTTTTCTCCCTCTTTCCCTTATTAGTCCATCATTTTTTACATCTTCTTTTCGAATATGTCTTTCGGGAACGATTCCCATGATGACACTTCGCCTTTATTTTAATTTTAGTTATAAGATACATTAATTTCTTTCCTAGAAAAAGAATGTTGATTTCGTCGTTAACATTTTCATTTTAACGATTAAATTAAATTATGTTCTTTCCAAGGAATTATGCTGATGGCGTCAATTAGTCATGATAGGAACAAAAAAATGTATATATATATATATTTGTTTACTTATCTAACTTTCATTTTGAAACTGGAAATAACACAACTCTGGAAATTGTTGATAAAAAACAATATGTATATTCTGCAATAAACAAAACAAATTACACAATTTTTTTAATATAAATAATACAGTAAAAAAATTGAAATATTTACATTGTATAAAATATAAATGTAAAAGATTGAATATTGAAACATAAAAAAATGAAAAATCAAAATTTCAAAGTACACAGATAATATAATAAAGTATTATAATGTATAAAATGTACAATTTTCTGATAACTCTTTAAATATAAAATTCTTTTCCGTAACATTATTTCCATGAATGGAATGTATGTTGACATCAACATCTCCGAAGTAGTTAATTCATATAAGTAAGGATTTCGTAAAAGGATAATGAAATTTTTTTAAGGAAAACTCGCGCATTTCAGATTTTCCTGGCATTTTACGAGTCCCGCGATAAGCTATAATTGGAAACGAATCATGACTAATGGATCATCACTGACGATCATCCCCACCGAACCAGCAGATTTAATAGGCCCAGTCAGTAGTGGAGAAGCTTAGTCGATTGGCGACCAGCCGATCAGTACTGGTTTTCATCTGACCTGTGGTACATCTCGGTTGAATGCGAACTCGACAGGAAAGGCCGACGTAAACGACAAGTGGAATTATTACATTCCCTAACGGAGTACGAGCCTTCTATCTGAAGGACGTTAATTGACAAGAATCACTGGAGCGAAACAGGGAAATCCCCGCTCGATCTGATCCGTAAGGGAGAGAGAAAGAGTGAAAGAAAAGAATCATTATAAAACATTATTGATTCGTGAAGAATTATATGCTCGTATCACAAATAAACATGATGTCCGTCAGCTTATTCGTCTTTTTCCTCGCTGTAATAACAATTGATGCACGTGAGTATTTCATTACACGTCAATTTTTGTTGCATTTTCACCTGAAAAAAACTGTAACTTGTTTCTTTATTAATAATGTTCAGATAATGTATCTTTCTTTGATATTTTTTGTAAATTGTGTGCTTGTTTTAAATTATAATGATACATTTGGCACAAAATTAACACATATGTGTTCATAATTAAATGCATCTATCCAATTCTCATCATCTTTTTAAGGTGCTTGCTTTCTGAGCAAATGTTTAAAATATTTCAAATTATTTACAATTTGCCTGTTTAAAAATGCTAAATTTGTTCTAAACTTCGATAAGACTTGAATTTTATGTTCTAAGGTTGCGGTTTAAGAAACATTAATTGATTAAATTAAACAATAAATTGCCGTTACAGAGAATGAGTGTTCAAATGGTGATGCTAATTGCGTTAACATTCGCAAGTGTCCAGAAATCGTATCTATCTTAACGAGTTCAAGACCGCTTTCGGCAGAAACACTGCAGACGCTTAGAAATTTGCAATGTGGCTTCGAAGGCAACGATCCGAAGGTTTGTTGCAGTCAGGTAATTGAATTTGACCCAAACGCATTAATTTATCTACAATAATATTAACATAGAATTAATTTAATTGAATTAAAATTAATAAAATACAGTTAACTAACACATAATATAATCGATAATTTCTAACTTGAGAAACAGAAAATTAATTTTAATATAATTTAAAACTAACTAAGAAGCAAACAAAAAGGTAAAAATTCATTATGTATTATAAATTATAATTATTAATAAATATATTTTTCATGAATATATTATAGTCATTTTGTATTGATAATAATACTTCTCTATTTGTTTCCAATTCGTGTTTGATTTCTTAAATAAATGTATAAAAGTTAAAAGATTATTTATTAGCATATTAATTATTGGTTCTCATCAAGGATATCAGATTAATGCGTTTCGGATGAATGTTCATCATTTTCCACGTTTCATGAAATATGTCAAAGTATACATATACATCGCATGTTGCTATCATTAGAGTACGTAATAAAGATGCATCGTCGTTGCAAACCGTTTAATAGTCTTTTGAAATAATGCTGAAACAGGTTTCTGCGACCTCGACTTTCTGTTTTATCCTGATCTCGTTGTACTAGCAGGATATCGCCTGAAGCTTAACTCGTAAAATCTGAAATTTACAAAATATTTTATTATATCGAATAATAATAAAATCAGATATTTTATTGTTTTCAGAGATTTTATTGCAATCAATGTTCCTATATGGCTTTTATTTTAAGTATAACATTAAAAATATATTTTTTCCAATCAAAGCAATAAAATTTTTTTGTGTTAATTTTTAAATATCTTCAATATTCATTCGGAAACGCATTTCACATATTTGCAAAACATAATAAAGTTCTATACATCTTAGTATTGTTCATCATTATAACATTGTTGAATTTTCAATTCCATATAAAAGTGGAAGTTTAATTTTTTCCAAGTTTTCACATGTTAAATGTTAATCTTCGAAATAGTCATCAACAACGACAGAAGCTCCAGATTCAGAAAATCTTCCAAATCCACCAGATGTTTCGAACCACCCAAATCTACGTCTATTAGATCATACATTGTGTGGACCCGTCACTCAGCGGCGAGTAGTTGGCGGCAACAAAACTGGAATTTTCCAGTTTCCATGGATGGCATTAATCGCATACGATACTGGAAGACCAAACCCGGAATTCCGTTGTGGCGCCACGGTCATTTCCTCACGCTACGTCCTCACAGCCGCTCATTGTGTAACTTTCCTTCCAGCAGGTAAAAAAAAAGTTATGTTGCCATAAAAATGGCAAAAATGAAAATGAAATTTTAAACTTGAAAAAAAATTAAAGACCGAATTTAATAATAAAGTTTAAAATATACTTAAGAACGTTGTTCTTGTAACTGACATAAATTTGTGTATTCGATATTCTCCAGGTCTACAACTGATAGGAGTCAGAGTAGGGGATCACGATATAAGCAAGGAACGAGACTGCGATTTGAACAATCAAGGGCAAGAAGTCGTGTGTGCCGAAAGATATCAGGATTTCGGGGTGGATAGCTTTCAGGCTCATCCGGAATACACGAGAACAAAACTGCAAAATGACGTCGCGCTTATCAGGTTGAATAGTACAGTGGACTTCAGGCCTCTTAACGTCAAACCTATTTGTTTGCCGTTTGGCTCTGCGACAGCAATAAATAAGAAAGTGGTGAGAATGATCGATATATTTTCATTTTATAATTAGGAAATATTAAAAAAAGGAGCAACCAGAAAGATTTACGAGTTACATTTATTTTGCTTTACATTATTTAAATCTACTACTGAATTTATACTATAAGTAGAAAAAGAAATTTTTTAAATGTTTTTTGTATTTCTCTCTCTATCTCTCTCACAAATTCAAAATATTTCATAATTGTATCTGTTCGAATCGATCTTACATTAATTTTTTTCAAGAAACGTTTTCTATCGCTTCTAAAAATTTGGACTCACAATTAAATGTATCTCTCAATTTTTGTAAGGATTACTTAACTTTTCTTTCAAAATTTTGCTTTTGATCGGCAGGGTGTAGTGACCGGTTGGGGAGCGACGGAATTAGGCCCACGTAGTCAGGATCTCCTGCAAGCGAAGCTGCCACTAGTGGACTACAATGAGTGTAAAGAAATATACAGGCGGACCACGGAGATCTGGTACAAGCAGCTGTGTGCCGGCGGCCAAATGAACGTGGACTCCTGTTTGGGCGACAGCGGTGGACCCCTGCAGGCAGCTAGTATATACAATGGTAGATCAGTACGTATCGTCCAGTATGGTGTCGTCAGCTACGGACTAAAACAGTGCGGCACCGAGGGATTCCCCGGAGTCTATACCAATATCGTCTATTACATGGACTGGATTCTCAACACACTAGCAGATTAAAACGAGACTGAAGCATTGCGGAACGAAGTCTTTCATATTGAATACTTTTAATCTCCGTGCTCACAGGATATGGTGACGCAGACGCGGTATTCCCCATCGTGATAAGAATGAGAAAATTAATTTGGCGAAGCGCCCAATAATATTGTAGACGAATAAAATGGATTTCAAATGGTTAGCAGATCGAGTAAAATTGTAACGTCTAAGAAGGAATATCTTTAATGCTTGTGAAAATAGGCGATTTAGATAATTCGCAAAATACCGTTCTTGTGTATTTTTAATTAATAAAAATAATTAGTGTTGATTTTTTAAAAACTTTCGTTATCTTTTTAGTAGAATAAAGTGTCTTACTGCCGATAAAACTTTATTCCATTAGACGACGTCTTCTCGGCAACAAGTTAAATTTTACGCTATTTTATTGCATGTGAGATAAGCGTGTTTTTCTTCTCATCTTTGATAAAAAGTAAAAAAAAAAAACAAAAAAAGGGAGAGAGAGAGAGAGAGAGAGAGAGAGAGAGAGAGAGAGTTTTTCACTCACTAATGGATATATGTACTATATCGATGCGTGATTATGATTTATAATGTTAACATATCAAGTTTTTATGCTTTATAATATATTGATATAATAAACTGTTTTGTATAAAAAAAGATGTTGTTTGCTGTTTGTTTCCTAAATTCAGCGAAATGTATTTTTGTCATTCGCGATAAACAGGATTCCCTGAACAATTATCGCAATCATTTCAATTTCAAATTAATTCTTTGATCACACACAACAACTTTGAACCGTTCTTGATAAATGTCAGTATGTTAACTTAGCTATAGATTATTCTTATAAATGATTATAAATATAATTTAATTAGAACAAAGCTGAATAAATAAAAAGCTCACTCATCAGATAGTTCAAAATTGAAGAGCTTTTGGCAAGGTTTACTTAATTATCGTTATATACTTTAATCGTGATTAATATATAAATATAGGAACCTGACATTCAGATTTTCGCGATAATTAGAATTATCGATTCAATTCACTCTTCGACATCGTCGCTGCGAGACCGTTCATCGCTACTGGACAATTTTTCGTTGCGATCCTCGATCAATTCCGCCGTTTCGTTGATCGAAACCTTCAATGGACCGCGATCGGCTTTCCTCTTCAATGTCGAGGCTTCTGACTTGACTGCTGATTTGTCGGAAGAATCACCCGATGACTTCGATGATAATTGGCTTGAGATCAGAGTACCGGAAGAACTGGTTAATGACCCGGAATTTGGTCTGGAGTTGCTAGCAAAGCTTAAATACGAGTCGAAGCTACTTGACGTAGACCTTTTCGACTGCTGCTGTTGCTTCTTTTTTTTCTTTTTCTTCTTCCGAGTGTGGGCATTCTTCGGAGAAGCCTTCTGTTGCGCTTTTACGAGCGATTGAAAACTCTGCAAATATCGCGTATAAAGCGTAGTTTACACAATACTTTATTAGAATGTATCCTAAAGAATTTACAGTGTCTCTAAAATTTATCAGCTTTGTATAAAATATATTAATGTATGAAATACACGTGAAATCTTAAACTACGTTTATTTTTCATAAAAAAGGTAATTGAAAAACATTTATTTCTACTTAGGAAGTAAAATATCCAATATCTTGTGTTATTATCTAATAACGATGACGCATGCAAATAACAAGAGATTCATAATACCTGAGAATGACGCTCGAAAAGAGTCGGTATTTGCGTCACACGGTCCAGCATCATCTCCATCTGCAGTCGATGACGTTCGGCCTGTTCCCGCGCCTCGTCACGACGAAGAGACGTCCGTATGTCTAGGTCTCTGTCATGCTCGTGCCTTGTTTTGGCGACATTAGATCAATATCTGATCATAAAAATCGATGAACGCTTAGATCTATAGATCCAATGCGTACCTCGCGGCCGATCTCAGTGCCTTCCACGCGGGTTTCCGACCGATCAGCGTCTCCCTGAACTTCAGTATCTGTTCCCGTCGCTCTTCCTCCATCCGCTCCTGTATCTCGCGCTCCAGTTTCTCTCTGTGGTGAGTTTTCGATCGTCATTTACACGTGTAAATTTCTAATTAAAAATTATCCTTTATATTTAAAAAAGTTAAATCCTATACCGAAGTGACTTTTTATGACTCACTATCGTTTCTCTTCCTTCGATTAAATTTCTAATATTTTAAAATTAATTTTTCAGAAATATATAAATAAATAGAAGGATTTTTTGGACTACGCAGTATCTTTCTCATTAAATAGACTGTACCGTGAGGCTTGACATCTTAAAATTGCAGCCAGGTTATTCCCGCGCGAAGACAATGCAGACGTCATCGCGGACCTGGTTCTATCGGATATCGTCGTAGCCGGGATGACAGATTCGTCGTCATCCTTATTAGGCTCCACGTCCTGCAAATGTGTATATGCGGACTTGACACGTTCGCGCCTTGCCATCGATGGCGGTAACGAAGAAGACTTCAACATCTCGGCAGCCCTCAGCCTTTTCCTTAGCTGTCTGGAACCGCGTACATATATAAATCCTGACGATGAATCTAATCGGTTTTAATTCTCAAGAGATTTTGTAAAGATTTTTAACTTTTTAAATAATCTTGCTAAATACCTTCAGGAAACCGAGTTTCGACTGAACTCATCTCTTCGAAAAACAATTTCAGTTGCTCACATATATGAACTTACACTTTTTGTACACAAAATAAGCTTTAAAATTAAATTAAGAATTAATTTCTCAAAATTTTCGTCTGTTTGCAATTCAAAGATTGTCGATATATGCTTTAATCGAGAGATATAATGGAATTTTCCGGACATTCAATATAAGTAATGCGATTTGGCTATTTTTATCGACACTAAGAAAGAAAAGAAAGAGCAAGAGAATAGCTACTAAACGCGTACATAAAAATGTCCATTTAAATTTTTCTAAGGTAAAATATAGGAAGAGCACGACAATTAACGACAAAGCTGACCTATAGTATTCGTCCTCAAGCATACGGTCGTAAACCTCAGTGCCGAACAGGTTTCTTGGTACTGGCTTAGCCTTGAAACGCGAAGAACCGCTCTTGCTCGAGCAGAGTTCAGGACTGGACCTCGCCATAGACCGCCAAGCACGACGATCGCACTCGAGCTTAAAAGGTCGCACTTGCGATAATAGATTTAGTGCGCTCTCTTCGCGTACGATACGACTTCTAAACATCAAAAACGTAAATTATATCAAGGTTCGCAGATCTCTAAATATAGTTATATATATACATATATCTATATATTGAAACTTTCAGAATTAGCCGACCTTTCTTCTTTTTCAGCCATCAATTTATCATAGAGCGGTATCTTGGATGTAATAGGAATTGGTTTAACTCGTCGTTTTTTCGAGGGACTTTTCTTCTCATTATCTTCATTCGTCCGTTCGGCTGTCTCTATCTCCGTCATATATTTTTCCGCTTCTTCTCTGAAAAAAGACATTAGATGTTCTATACAAAGACATTTTATAGAACTGAAAAAGTAAAATAATTTAAGAACATTAATAATAATTTAATTAAATCATTTCCTTTATTGATAAAAAGATTCCTTTTTATAATGATTATTAATAATCAAAACTAATACATTTTTATGTTAATATTCAAACAACACAAAGAAATACACTTGAACGTATCTATTAAGCAGGTATTTTCAAATGCAAGGTGTCAAACATCTTTTAAGAATATCATCCAAATATTTACCTCAGCGTGAAACTAAATGGTTTAGGCACCGTGGGTTGCCATTCTTTCGAGCTACTCGGTGGTAAACTTTTCGTCTCAATGCTATCTTCGCCATCGCTATTCACGCTGTCATCGCTTTTCGATTCGCTCCATGTGCTCCAGCTTTTATTAGCCGCAAGTATTTCCTTGTTGCGTATTGTCTTTGTTTCTTTGTCTTTGTCTCTACATCTAGAATCAACATTTTAGTGCGTTTACAAACATAAGCAATAAGAGACGATAAAAAAGAGATGTAATTATCTATATATCGTTTCTCTAATGTATTTGTAATTTAAGATTCTCCTTTATCAGAGCTGCTTTTCTTCCTTTCTTTCTCTCATTGTCTGATAACTTAATTACCTGTACGTCAAGAGATCTTGATCCTCGGCGAGACCAGCAAAATTTCCAGATGGAAATAGTATCGGACTGCTGGTTCGAGACTCCTCAAGATAGCATTTCTTGCCATTCAACTTGAGATCGTCAACGACGTTCGGTTTGACGTCCTTTGACTTTGAGCTCTCATTTCTCGTAATTGACAGACGTGAAGACGGTTCCTCCGTGTCATCCAGCGAGTTTCTCAGATTCTGCAGGAACAGCCGCTGCTTCCTTCTCAGATATTCGACCTTTTGCTTGAATTGCTCGTTCGACAAATGATGCACTTGTCCATAATCTGGTATGCTCTTCAGGAACTCCAAAAGATTTTCTAAGGTGTCACGCGGGCTGGACAACTCCGAGTTCTCGACGGCAGTCGGTACACCTTCCGCAAAGTTAATTTTCTTCACTTTCTCTGACCTTCGGCTACCGGATGAGAGTCGAGGACGTTCGTAAGAAGGAGTTGGTTGCCGGCTACAAGGATCCACCGGCATCTTCACGCATGAGTGAAAGAAGGAGGTGCCTCTGTGCTCCGTCATGGTTCACTAATTTATAATGTAACGAAATATAATGAAACGCGTGTAGTTAACATAATATATAATTATAAATAATGTACGGTGTGTAAAATAAATACGTTTTTAAATATTAATAAATTTACTGATGAGATATGTAAATATTCGTAGATAATTATAAAAAGACCTTTCCTATTAAATGTATAAATAAGTATTTCATAATTCCTACTGTCTTTTTTACAATTTAGTATGATGGTAATAAATACTTATTAATTAAATAAATTGAAACTAAATTTAAAATATGTAGTGAAGTTTAGATATTATCAAAAGAATAACCTTTATAACAATCAGAGCTATAGTTATACAATATAATTGTACAACTAGTGCCTATATATATATATATATAAATACCGTATATAAGATAATTGTAGTACGTATGGCACACACACCAAATATACAGGGAAAACTACTAATAAGAAACTAGATACAAAAAAACATTAAAATATAAGATAAAAAGGACAATAGAGCAAACTGACTTTTCTAATCATCAAATAGTTAAACCTTTAAATCGATTGCAAATTTTATTAAAAGTCATAAAACTATAAAATATTTACACACACAAGTGTGTCTTTTATTTTATTCTAATCGTCATCAAAACTGGGACATTTTGCCGAGACTATTTCAGGCTCTTAGAAGATACCGCAAAATTCTTCGTGGAGTTTCTCGTTACTATAATCACCTTCATATCCTCTAAAAGCAATCAGCCAAATGCGAGTCCAAGTTGATTCTAAGAAGGCGGTTTGTGATCAAATCCGGATTCCAACAACGGGATACAAACAATGTGCTGGCAACTTTGACGGGCGTTATTGTACTTGCTACGGGGGATCAATGCGACCTGGCGTCGCCGACCTGGCGTCGCCGTCGCCATGGTGAAGCTCGCGAGGAAGTGCTAACGCCCTGCAACCAGACCTACGGAATTAAATGGCGCGCAAAACAATCCGATCGATTCCGCTGAATGTGAACGGTTATTATAGTTGTCGAACGTATGTGAAAAATGATATCTGCGAAACTGTTGACTATTTAGAACGATCCCGTTTATTGAGTAAAAAATGAAACTTGGATAATATCCAGAGAAATTTATATGCTCAAATTTCTCGACGATTATATGCAGAGAGAAAAGCTATATGTATAACTTACTATATATACATGCTTATATTTAAAAGACGAATTATAAACTCTATTTTTTTTCGTTTATTTTAATTTGTGATATCTGCCCTTTCAAAATCCTACTGTAGAATTATTTAGCACAGCATATTTTAATATAAGATTAGGATTTATTTTCTTGTGACTTTAGATATAAATTCTATTAATTAAAAATTATATAAGATAAACAAAATGATGTCAAGGGCGATATAAAAAGAGTCAAAAAGATATTATTTGTTCAACAATAAAACATAATTTATAGTCACTACTTTCAATAATTAATTTAAACATTGCTTAATACTATTTCGCCTTCAAACAATTAACTAAGATAACAAATAAATAAGTATTAATAAATATATAGATATATGTTACAAGTTTCGGCTCTCGGATTGAGCCCTCCTCAGGATTGAATAACATATTTTATATTTTATTCAATCGCCCTTGACATCATTTTGTTTATTTTTATATAACGAGTCCTTATTTCTTTTCTATTAATTTATTATTATATAAGAGATATCAGGAGTTTAATTCTCTTAAATTAAAATTAATTATCTTTTTTATTTTATAGAAAAAATTAGAAGCTTTACAGGTTTAATTCTCTTTGAAATATCACGATAAGGCTAAATGACAGTACAATGAGAATCAAAAGAGTGATTGGATAACAAATCGACCTGTTTCCGTATATTTTGCAAAAAAAAGGGCCTAATTTTCTTTTTCTCCTTCCTTATTATTTCTGATGGAGTAGCGCGCTGTTGTGTACTTGTTTTCTTGCGCTGTTGCACTTAGTGTAAAACAGTGTAAAATGGCGACTATCAAGGGAACGATGTCTACGTGCCGGCTTGCTTTCACGTCGTTGTCACGGAATTGCGAGCGTGTCATCCCCTACGCGAACGTGGTCTCGAAGAACAGCTACTCGACCACTAAAACGGAAAATGAAGAGACCTATGATGTCATCATCGCCGGAGGTGGCATGATCGGCACAACGTTAGCGTGCGCTATAGGTTAGCTTTTTATCAGTATCATTATTTGTAACACTACTGACAATGAGTCTTGAGATAACAGATGTTTGGGAAAGAAAAAATGGAAACTCCTGAAATCTGTGTTTGTTTGGAAACTTATAAGAATTATTTAAGAAATCTTAAATATTTAAAAGAATATTAATCAACAAAGAATATATAAAATGTTGGGCATCTCTTTGAAAAAACATTAATTATTCAAATTTTTATTTAATAATATATGATGTATATCCTCGTTAGATGTTTCAACCTTTTGTTAGATCATCTTCAATAACATTACTTTTTCTTCAAACACTCAATTATGTATACGTATGTCAATCATAATATTAAATGCATTAAATTTTTACGTGGCTAATCAATGAAATAAAATTGTGATTATTTGTATAAAAAACGTCTCAAGAATTTTATTAAGTTTTTTTTACAACAAACTGATAAATTTTTAATGATTTAATTTTGTTCTTAAAAAATTTTTTAATTAATAAAATGATAAATACTGCAAGTATCAAAATTGGCATTAGTAATTAATGGAATTGCAATTGTTTCAAAATATGTGAGACAAAAGACTTCGAATATATTTTTCTCAAAGTGTATGATCTGTTTTTCTTAGCTTTGTTATTATGCTGTCTGCATTTATATGGAGGAGTAAATACATGTTTAATTATTTTAGCAAACAATCGGAGATTAGCAAACAGGAAGATCTTACTTTTAGAAAGTAATGCTAAACAGGAATACACACCACAGGAGCAGTACTCCAATCGAGTTGTTGCATTGAATCAACAAACCCGTACCTTATTGTCCAGCATAGGAGCATGGAAACACATAGAGGCAGTCCGATATTCTCCAGTACGAAGAATGCAGGTAGATTTTTATATTTTATTTTTGCTATTTTAGAATTAATTATATTAAACAATAAGCGATATTAAAATAACCCAATTAAATGAGAAAAATGCTGTCTTGGTCTGATCTCATTTGGTTTAGATTTTAGAATTTAGTGCTTAATGATATTTTAATATAAATTTATATACAGTTTTGTAAATTTTGCTGATTTATATGTATAATTTTCAGTCTTGAATATTCCAGCTTAAACCAAATAAGATCTTTCTATTTTTTTACTTGTGTGTGTTAGTATACCTATTATTAAACTAAATTCACATTAGTAACAGTTTCGATTTGTAGCAATTGATCTTGATAAATTGCATTTCTAATAGTAATTTATTGCACTTAAACTTTATGATTAAAACGTAATCTCTTCGTCTTGATTTTTGTTAGTTTATATTTTATTTTGATTTATATAATTAATTTTTATAATATATCTATATATAATTTTGTAATAGGTGTGGGAGGCATGTTCTGATGCTATGATAACATTCAATGAGGATTTGTCGAGCAAAGAATTGGCTTATATAGTTGAAAATGATCTTCTGTTGCATGCGATCAACAAACAACTCTCTGAAAAGGAAAACATTACTGTGATTTATAATTCTAAAGTCACCGATATACAGCTTCTGAAAACAGGAATGGAATTTGTTACTATACTGCTGCAGTCTGGAGAACGGTACAGGGCTAGATTACTGGTGAGTACTAATTGTAAGTTATACTATTATAAATTCATATAATTTACGAAGGATATATATATATATATATATATGTGTGTGCGTGCGTGCGTGCGTATGCGTGTGTGTGTTGTGTCTATGTGTAGATTGTCATGATCAAAGCATTTTTTTTATTGACAAGAAGAAAATTCTACAAAATGATTGAAAATATGTGATTTATTACGTTTGTATTTCTGTTGTCATTATTAGGCCTTTTACAAATTATATCTCTTTTATCTTAAGTTTATATTTTCTTTTTGAATCATGTTCTTGTGATTTTTTATTAATTATTTTATATTCGAAATATATGAAACAATAGAGGTTTTTTTGCAAAACACCATTTAAATGGTTCCATGTATCATTTTATCTTATGTTTAACATTCGGTGAACAACGAGGAAAAAATATACAGAGATACTCGAGTGTTATTGTAAATGCGACATGTTCAAGTCTTTAGCGATACTCTCTACTTTATTGGTTAAACTGTCCAGCCTAGTGCTGATGTTGTACGAGCATCTCTTCAACTCGGTTGCCAGTTCATTTAGTTGCTGCTGATTGCTCTCGTTGCTGTACATCCTACTGAGCCTTGCATGGCTCGAATCCATTGCAGTGGCATTGGCACTTCGTGGCAGCGGTGGTGCGCTGCCTCTTAATGTTGTCCGTCGTGTTTTCCTCTCACTGACCAAGCGATATATCGCTCGGATGAGATCTCGCGGTAAACGTTTTTCGCGCGGATCGTTCGGCCGAATGTGCAAGGCGCAGTGATACGGCGGATGTAATAACAGAGCGCCTCTCCTGCATGCTTGTATTATACTCCATGCCAGAGTACGATCCAGAAGTTTGGAGAACAGCATATTTTCAAGATGAGCCACTAGCTCGGCACGGCGTACTAGTCTATCAAGGCCAGCGCATCTGCGAAGCTCTTGAATATCCGATACGGCCAAACCGACCATCAGATTTGTTAGGATCACTGTCACTAGAATAACGAAGCTGAGAAGCATCAAGTGGGCTGTACCAGGATATTCGAGCGGCGCTTTTTCGTCGAAAAAGACATCCTCGAATTCGAGCTCGCCCGACATCATGATCATCGTCTTGAGTAGACTGACCAATGGATCAGCGAAGGATTTGTAGTTCTTGTGTAGCACGCTAAAGCCAAGGGAGAAGCCGACTATGAGGCAAATGTAGGCTGCGAGAAACTTGAAGAAGTTGATGGACACTTGAGTGAACATCTGTACATAGATGCCGAACATAGGAAAACGACCGACCACTATCATTAACTCGATCCAGACCAGTAGGACCCCCAGAGCGGCAACGTGATACTGCCAAGTATATGCTGACGGAATCAGAATAATGCCGGATGCCATGATTACGCTCCACTGCAGCCAGTTTTCCCAGCGTTTAGCATAGCAGCAGATACCGTGAGCAACTTGAAAAAGTTCCTTGCCTGCAAGCACACAGGTAAAACCCAGCACTGGCCAGAGAAGGACATTGCTTAGCTGTTTCACGTGCCAGAGATACGTCGCTCCGACATAACCGGTGAAGAGGGCAACGAAGATCGAGTGAAACATCAAGCTGAGCAAGAAGAACTTGCGGATACGCAGCCATTTGAGGTAAAGAAAACTCTCGCACAACGGATGCTTCAGCACGTGACCCTGACCAACTTCTACCAGACAGAGCATCAGATCCGTTTCGCCACGGCCGCCTGGCACTAATGGCCTGAAGTCCAATCGTAACTCACAGTCTACATCGCCCAGTTCGTGATCGTGCAACGAGATCGCCTGATCGAAGCGTGCCACAAAGAGTGGTAATACGTCTGGAGTGCGACGTATAATGAAGCTGAGAGCTGTAACACCGCCCTTGGTGCGCGCCGTCATATCTGCGCCCTTCGACAGCAACAGCATCACCGTGGGTGAGCTCTCGTTCAAAGCCGCGATATGTAATGGTGTGTAGCCGAACTTGTCCGCCTTGTTAACCGAGGCGCCTGCCTTTTGAAGGAAAAAAAACTTCTCAATATATATTTCTCTGTGTTGTTAGAAAAAATGTTCTTTAACCCGGAAATAGTCACCTAATTTTTTTTTTTTATACGGAAACGATTACCTGTTATATTTAAATGTTTGTAAATAATAGTTATTAGTCGTAAAAAAATTAGAAAAAAATTAACAATATCCATATATATCTATCTATACAAAATAATATTTTACAACATTATTTCGTTACTGAAATATAAAAATATCTCAAGTGACTGTTCCTGAAGTATATGATCGAACTACGAACCTGTATTAAAGTCTTAACCAGTTCACCGCTCCTCAAGGCTTTCGCAACTGCAGCATGTAGAGGAGTTCGCCCATCGTCGTCCTCCTCGTTCACTTTCGCACCGGCATTTATTAATACATCTAATGTTTCTATAGATTGAGCAAGCGCTGCTAGATGCATCGCCGTCTGACCGCGCGAGTTCTTCGCTTCCCAGGTCGCACCGGCATTCAGCAACAACCTGGTACACTCCACACTTCCTTCTTCGGCTGCCAGATGTAGAGGTGTCGATCTCGCGACTCCTAGTTGCACTCTCACATCCGCCCCATGATTTAATAGTAATTTGGTGCAACGCACATTGCCTAAACTAGTCGCCACGTGCAGAGGTGTCTCTGTGTAAACCTATCAACATATTGTATCAAGTTACCGAAGAGATCTTCGCTCAAATCTCAAAGGGACGCATTAATTTGGTGAGAAAATAATATCTGATCTGCACATAATCGATGTTGCAGATTAATTAAAGATTTTGTGATATGTTACTTTCTTCATATAATCGTGATCAAATTTCATTTCAAAGATTTCTTTAGGCATCACTTTCTCACCAAATTTATATTTAAGTTGGTTGTGGTAAAGGAGCACCTGTGGATTATTGGGACAAGCACCTGCTTGTAGTAGAGCCTCGACACAATCTCCAGCGTTATTTAACACGGCGTAATGGAGCGGGCTTTTACCGGACAATCCAGCGTCTACATTTGCGCCTGATTTGATTAGGGATTTGACGGTAGCGACGCAACCCGCCGCTGCGGCGCAATGTAACGGGGTGCATTTCTTTCCGAGATCCCATTTGCATGGATCAGCACCGTGTTTCGATAACTCCTCTACAAGTTTCACGGATGTGGCACAAGCCGCCAAATGCAATGGTGTTCTAGGATATAAAAATTTTGAGTATTAGTTGAAGTTATAGGCTTAATTAATTAGAGATATTTTATAGTTTACTATGATGGAATCAGATAATTTTCGAGACATATAATGAATTAAAATAAAATAAAAGTGATTATAAGGCTCTATATGTACAAAACAGTATAAATATAAAGATGGCAAAGAGCCAGGTAATTTAACGAACAACTTTAATTCAAATAATCATGATATGAACATTACACAAACAAACGTTTCGACTCCGATCGGGTCATTTTCAATGTTACATAAAATATAAAGTACAAAATTATTATAAGTTAAATTTATACAATCTTGATAAAATTATATCGTCTTCTTAATTCTGTGTAAGTTTCTAGTCAAAAATATCAGTGTCGTAATATAATGAATTACATAATTCTGAATAGTGATTCTGTCTATTGCAAATTATAGTTTTGTATACATGTATACCTTCCATCGCAATCATTCGTAGAAACTGGCGCGCCTTTATCTAATAAAGCCTTTGCGATCTCCACGTGACCCAACCAGCTAGAAATCAGCAGACACGTGTCCGGCCATCCTGCAAGTAACTGGCCTGGAGTCGCGGCAGCCGCTGCTCCATTTTCGCTATCTAGTACAGCTTTTCGCATAAACCTATAAATACGGATATGCTTATTCTTATCTTGCTATAAGATTAAATTATAGATGTACAACTATTATTGCCATTACCCATTTGCGAACGTAGGCAACGTGATCTTTCGATGACTGCAGTCCATATTTTCGTTGAGAGTCAAGCATTGGAATTCCTCTAAAGCTTTTTGCAGAGTTTCATTTTGAAGTGTAGGGATCAGGGAAAGAGCAACTTCGCCCCCTGGAAGATTCGATAGTGCTATTTCGACTTCGTCTTTGTTCCAGGGCTGCTCCTGCGTCATCGGCACCGTTGATATGTGACATGTGACAGAATCTGAACTGTTTTCGGAGGAAATACTGCCACTGTCAATCTCACTCATCCAGATATCCTCACGCTCTTCCTAAATTCGATATACAAACGTTAAGGAAACATCGAAAAATCATCAATAATTACATTTTTTCACTGACCTTATTACTGATCACAACAGACGGCATTCCGTTATTAGTAGTTTCTATTCTCGGTACCTCTCGCGTCAAATGACTGCCGGAGAGTCTTTCAAAAAAGTTCTTCTTACCAAGAATTGACATAATCATGTCCTTCTTTGGATTCCCAAAGAAATTTAACTAACTCTGCATAAATGATTACTATAGATAGATACTATTGATATAATTATGTAGCGAATAAAGGATGAAAAGTTTCTTCTCTTAATTAACTCATTTTCGCGACTACGCAATGATAACAATACACATTTTCACCCGTACAATGATACATTTATCATTAAACGATTAAGACGTTCAATGACGTTCTCAATCAATCAAGTGTTAATAAAATGATTAATATAAGCAATAGGAAAAAATCTCATTAGATCAGTTATTTGATAAACAATCGTCTTGACATTGTAAAATGGATGGTTTTCTCAATGCGCGTTTAGCGTCTCTTAGCTGTAGCTCTTACTCGCTAATACTGAACACTTAGTCAACTATTCCGGATCTCTGTATATCTCAGGATACCCACACGTGTTTATAAAACAGTGTTATATATTTAGCTTCCATTAATCTCTCGCGGTTCTCCCTCACTCCTTGCGTAAATCCGGCCTGTTTCGATGATAAAGAAGGCAAAGAAGAAAATCCCCGACCGCAAACTCCTTCCCTATCATTCCTTCTCAGCACGATACCGGAAATGAGTATTATTATCATTATTTCATGCATAAACACGTTCAGACACTTTCAGCGGAATTCAATTAACGTGTCAACCATTTAACAAAATTGTTTCATCTTAATACTTTCTTTTTCTTACAATTAATTTTTAACTAAGATTTGAAAATATTTTTAACAGTTTCTATATTATACAATATAAATTTAACGCAGATGATGATTACAGACAACTTGCAATTATTTCGATTTACAAAAAAATTTAAAAAAACCTAAGTAAACTGAAGAAAGTAGAAACAACCAAGTATTATAATACAAACAAATATTATATTACAAACAAGTATTATAATTTGTTTTAAATAATTTATGAGTGCAACTTTCTAAAATATTTGACTGTTATATCAGAATGTAAATAATACTTTTTGTGGACGCATCTGCGGATTTGTGTATAAACAAAGTAACATTTACGATGAAATTTTAGTATAAGATGCTAACCATTCGGCGCAGGGTAAATCTCCACTGAAATTTAAAACAGAACTGACGTTATTTTCGTACACACTTGTAAATTTTCGGTGCGCTTGACTGTCGCAACGCACCAGTTATTCGCACTATCTTCATACTAATTCAATAATCTCTCTTATAACAACGCTTACAATTTTATTTTTAAAATGTGATTACCGTCAAGCACAAGGAACCAGAATAAATAAAGCGCTTTAATGCGTTCCAGGTGGGTGCCGATGGCGTTAACTCGCTGGTGAGGAAGGCAATGGGTGTGATTTATCTTAACTGGCAATACAATCAATTAGGTATCGTTGCGACTCTCAAACTGTCTGAGGTAATATTTCTCTTGAGACTATGTCATATTATACACAAAACAAACAAGAGACATAACTATTTCTCACGTTTAAGAAGATATCTATGAGCTGCTGAGTTATAACACTTGTCGTTAATTGATTTTAGCCCACGGAGAACGTCGTCGCTTGGCAAAGATTTGTTCCAACGGGACCCATCGCATTGCTTCCGGTAACTATCAATTTTCGTATCTCTATTAATTCGTTTCTTCGCGTGAACAAAACGTCAAAGTCTAAAATACTCCCAAAGACTTAGAACGCTTTGAAAATATCGTGGAAATACAACCAAATCAATGAAATGAAATAGTAACGTTATTCTGTGTTATGTTTATCACATTTTCAAAGATAATTAATAGATTTAGAAAACGGATGTTTGACACATCAAATCAAATTTTAAATAATTTAATCAAATGAATTGGGAACGAAAAGAGGATTAATAGATCGATTCGACGTGATTCTATATTACTATTCTTTATTAGTTGACAGATTCTCTCAGTTCACTCGTATGGTCTGTAACAAAAGAAAAGGCAAAGGAACTGTTGAAAATTTCGGAGGAGGAATTTGTCGACAAAGTAAATGAGACGCTGTGGCGTATTTATCCGAAGAGCAGCATCGTCGAGAGCGGGATGCACGGATTCCATTGGTTGCTTACAAGACTTGCCTTGAAGACCAATGCATCCAGGCAAATGCCACCCTCCATAGAGGCAATTATCGAGGGCTCACGGGCAGCATTTCCCTTGTGTTTCGGTCACGCTTCATCTTATGTTCAGTCAGGCGCGGTGTTGGTCGGGTAAAAAAATTTCTGCTCTTAAGGATCAGCGATCTGTTAGAAAATTGTAACCGAATGCATTTCAAGTGATTTGAAACAAATCTCAAAGATATTCGTCACGAAAAAAATTTTGTCCAATATTATAATTTATCTTCAAATTGAGATTTTTAAATTGATATTTTAATTATGGATTATTTTTTCAAGTTTACGCGTATTTTTAAAGAGATGCTGCGCATCGAGTCCATCCTTTGGCAGGTCAAGGTGCGAATTTAGGTTTCGGTGACGTAGCAGAGTTAACGAAGACCCTCGCTGAGGCCAGCGTGAATGGCAGTCATCTTAACGATATGTATTATTTACGGACATACGAGACACTGAGGCAACGTCACAATATACCGATGATGCTCGCCATCGATGGACTTCATCGGTTCTATCAACACACCGCGGCACCCATTGTTCTTGGTAGAAGTCTAGGTTTACAATTAGTAGACTCTCTCCCGCCAATCAAGGTAACGAGAATGTCGTAATGACATATATTTTTTGAAGAAAGAAGTGTTATTTCTTGTTTGATATTAATCAAAGTGTGATTTTTCTTTTCAGAAACTTTTAATGCAACAGGCTGCAGGAAATAATATGTTTTAAAAGTGTTAATCACTGAAGACTAGAATGTACATAATGTAAATAGTATGAAAGATGATTAATTTATACATTATTATGTTATATATACCTACATATTGTCATCAGAACTAAAAGTGGCAAATAGTTCCAGATCCATAACTGATTTATGAATGCTCCGAGATAATTGTACTAAAATTTTTTAGCCTTAAATAGATAGAATCTTAATTCTAACAATCTCCATACATACTTTTTCTCCTTTAGAGGATCTGTTAACATATTTGTATGCATATATATAGAGGGTTTTCGCAGGGTATAAAAACCTTGTAATAATTTTTGTAAAAAAGATGTCAAAACAGTGAAACGTCTTCTAATAATTTAAAAAGGTTATTTTTTAATAGCATGGGTGCTGATTAATTTCTTCCCTCCGAAGACGAGAAGAGTAATGAAAATTTTAAATGGCCCTAGGAGTCATGTGAGACTTATTTAAAAGGTTTTTTTGATAACGTTTTATCAAAACACTGACAATTTTAAGTCTCTACGAACAACCCAAAACAATCATGGCTATACGAAAATAAAAATTTCATGCATTTAGCATTACTTGATATTATTTAGGCTCATCTCTGCCGCCGTCCCTCACGTGGATCTCTTTTGAAATAGTTTTTATAAAAATTTCGGGAAAATATATTACTCGGGAAAGTATATATTTATATATGCATTCTGTATCGTTGCCTCTATGATTTCTTTAATAAAATGCTTAAAATTTGTTTTGTTTCATTAACATAGAGAAACTGTGCCAATAATTGGGTTAAATGAAATACAGAAAACAATGTAATTATGTGCAATTGTGTACATTATATATATAATTATATATCTGTTATTATTTTATTATTCTCTGATTATACTATATGAAATTTGTAATATATTTTTTAAGGTTTCAATAAAACTTAATGACAACTGAATTTTTTTAAATATGTTTATAGTAGTTGTTTTTTTTAGGTGAAATATTTCAACAAAAATTTTTAAATTGTATATCAAAATAAAATATCAAACATTTGATATTTATATAAGGCACTTTATATGCGATTTTGAAGTTATTGCATCATTCATATAAAATCTACATGACAAATCTATACATAAGAAGAATTTTATCTTATTTAAAAAATAAAACATAACTTTTGTTGAAGTTTCATCATGCATGGCATAATTTCTAAGAGAAAGTTGTATCATTTATTTATATTGCTTTCAAGAAGCAAATAACTTTCGCATTGCAGGTATATGTAAAGGGGGTATTCAAATTTCAACCTGGATACTCCTCGGGTATCATGCCATCATTGTCTAACGTTTAGTAAACAAGGATGGAGTGATATCTGGATAACACGCAGGTGAGAATCTGAACTCAGCGTAATCTGTGATCATCTATGACAATCTATAGCTATCTTGGATTATCTAATTTCTAGTGTCACGCAATAACACGTCTCGTCCACGTGGTTGAGAACCGAATTGATCTAACTATTTAGTGACCGTTTGTAAAAGTATCATGTATTTTTGGACCTTGTCTGCACACAAAGTGTACACAAAGTTGACACAGAATCATTAACGAAACATGTTTTAAGAGATATGTAGAATACAGAAGAGGTTAGTTTAACCGCTTTCTAAAGTTCACAGGTTTACATTTGCCGGATTCGATGTCACTGGGACGTCGTTCTCGCATCACGCGAATTTATGAGGACTTTTAATCGTCACTTCAGTAGGTTAGTGCAGTTTTATAATTATATATTAGTTACGTAATATTTCTAAAGCATCTTGAGAGAGAATATATTACAATTTGTTTTGTTTTTTTTCAGTTAAAAGGAACTGTCAACCAAATGGCAATGTTTACATCCAGAAGGCTGCTTAAAGCCGTTGCCATCGGAACAGTCGGGCTTGGTACTCTAGCTTCTCTCAGAGCAAATGAGTATGACATTGGTGCCATTGGTATTGTACGCTTAAGCCGTGCTGCGCTAACAGTGCTTGACATAGGCCGTTATTATAAGAAAGAATTATATAACAGTAAATTGGATAAAACCTCACCAGAGTACCTGCAGCTAAAATCAAATGCTCACAAATACGGAGCGCAAAAACTCCTAGAGCTTTGTTGTGCTAACAAAGGAGTGTACATCAAGGTAGGTCAGCATGTAGGTGCACTGGACTACCTGCTGCCCAAGGAATATGTACATACCATGCGCGTACTGCATAGTGCGGCACCTCAGTCCTCATTCAGTGACATACTTACTGTTATTCAGGAGGATTTTAAGAGGCCTCCATATGAGATTTTTCAGAGCATCGATCCAGAGCCCCTAGGCACTGCTAGTCTCGCACAGGTGCACAGGGCAGTACTGAAAAACGGCGATGTGGTGGCTGTAAAAGTACAGCATCGTTCAGTCAAAAGCAACTCTTACGTTGACATTAAGACCATGTCGACTTTGGTAAGCATTACTTCACTGATATTTCCAGATTTCAAGTTCGACTGGCTAGTCAAAGAGACAAAGAGGAACATCCCTCAGGAGTTGAACTTTACTCTGGAGGGCAAGAATGCTGAGAAGGTACAGAGGCTTTTCAAAAACTATCATTGGCTAAAAGTGCCCAAAATATATTGGGACTTATCGTCATCTCGTGTGCTCACGATGGAGTTCTTGGAGGGTGGACAAGTGAATGACCTGGAGTACATGCGCGCCCATCATCTGAATCCATATGAAATCACCAGCAAGCTCGGTCGTCTCTACAGCCACATGATCTTCATTGAAGGTTTTGTTCACTCGGATCCACATCCTGGTAACATCCTGGTACGCAACCGCGACTCTCAGGTGGAAATTATTCTGTTGGATCATGGCCTCTACGCCGATTTGTCCGATCAGTTTCGCTGGGACTATTCAAAGCTATGGCTGGCTATCCTCGACAGCGATCGAGTGGCTATGAAGAAATACTGCACTCGTCTTGGAGTCGACAATTACTACGGTCTGCTGTCGGTCATGGTGTCGGGCAGGACGTGGGAAACGATTATATCAGGCGTGCGTAAAACTCGCTACAATACTCAAGAGAAGGAGACGTTTCAGCAGAATGTTCCAAACTTGTTGCCACAGATCAGCGACGTACTGGACCGTGTCAACCGACAAATGCTGCTGATTCTTAAAACCAACGATCTCATGCGTTGTATCGAGTATTCGTTACAAACTCAATCCAGGATGTCGGCCATGATGGAAATGTCCAAGTGTTGCGTGCGTTCTGTATACGGCGAGAAGCTTCGGCAATGCTCGAATGCATGGGATAAGTGCTGGGTGTCGTTAGCGGAACGTTGGGCGCTTCTTAAATTATCGTTCTATTACATGTATCTGGGCCTGATACACTTCGACCTAAACAGCTCGGTCAATTCTCTATGGACGAAGGACTTTTATTCGTTTTAACAAAAGTTTTCCTTTAGACTAAATACTTTTTTTTGTTCAATTGGATAAAACTTACGCCCTTGTGTAAAGCCTATTTTTTAAAGGAAGTGTTTCTTTTTCAAGAAAAGTCTATAGATATCTATTTTTTTACTGATGTAAACAATTTGAATTTTGTACATATTATATAACTTATAAAAAATATACATTTTACACGCTCTCTTTTACGTCGGTTCATCTCTTAATTCATAATCATCGATGTTGGAAAAAGATTATATAATATACCATAAATTTAAATATTTTTTTGTAATAAATAAATCTTTGTTGAGAAAGTCGCGCTGTTTATTATATACATATATAATTACAAGTAGAAACAAATGTTTATAGATATTCTATTACAAATTAGTTCGTTCTAAGAATTTTGCTTTCTTTAGCTAATTGAAGCTGTTCACGATACTCTGTGATTACTGCTTCCCTATCCTTCAAAAACTGCCTATATTCGTCTGGGTCTATTTCACGCACAATCTCGATGCCACATGTGCGAGCAATGCCAACTATCATTTGGCACATTTGTTCTAAAGTCAGCAGTGCGTTAGGCGGATCCTCTATCTTAATCTTGGCGATCTCATATAAATGTTTTAAAGTTATCTTGCCAGCTATTTCACCTACGAAATAAGATATTCATGAATCTTTTATATCTTCTTGTGTGTTCATGTTAAATTATCTTTGCACTTTTTCCATTGAAATATCAAGGGATTACAATAGTTATTTTATGTTTTAGGGACAAAACAATAAATTAAGAACTAATACGGTTGCCACCTCTTTGATATTTAACTGGAGACTCCAATTTTTTGACCAAATCTGTTAATTACTCAAAATTTAAAATTTTAATGACTGAAAGGAGTCAAATTTGACAACCTATTTTTTACAAAATATAACAAAAAAACTGTATACATTTTGATAATAACAATTAATCTTCATTAGTAAGGTCACACATATCTGATAATCCTGTTTTCATTTTTAGAGAATACTATAAGAAATTGAGTTTTGACAATTTTCATAGCTAATCACCAATGAAACACTGATAAAATGTGACCACGAATCCAAGTTTAACAAGTTAAAAGAAAGGATTGGTATTTGTACCCTTCTTTATTCTTCCCTTCTGTATTCCAGCAGCCTGTTTCAAATAGTATGTTGTTGGTGGTTTATGGATCACTAAATCATATGATCTGTCTGACTTTACTTTTACACGACATGGTAGAGGAATGCCTTCCTTAATATCGGCTGTCCTACTGTTGAAATCCTTGCAAAACTTATCGATGATGATGTTTCTCTGGAATCAAAATCATCCAACTTAAACATTAAAGGTGAGTAGCTCTTATAAATCTAGCATGATTGTCATAAAAAGAAAGATTAGAATTGGAATTCGAGAGATGATAATAAATTTCTACGATGAAAGAATTAAATACGAAAAAATCTAATATATTGTATTCAAGTTCAACGACATCATGAGCCTAACCTGACCGAGTTGGGAACCTAGTGGCGGCGCGGATGACGCCATTCCTGCGGGAATATTCACGCGTAATTTTGACGAATGATCGATTTTCTCAACGTTTTTGCTCATCTTTCCTATTTTTTTCATTCGTCCCATTAATTTCGACATCTTCCGATTTTAATATATGCACTGCCAAAGAAAATATGTGATAGACATCTATAACCTAAAACCCATGACGTAAGAAAACAAAGTATATGTATGTCCCATTGCGCATAATAGCGACTAAATATTGGAGCAGCCAATCAAATTTCGCCCCTAAATGTTGCGCGAGAGATTCAAACGCCGTACTAAGATCAGACTATAAACCGTGTAATACAACAATATATGAAAGTAAATATGTAAAAACATAATAATAATAAAAGTAAATATGTAAAAATATAATGATAATAAAATACTAAATGTACATAATATATATGTTATTTTATTCTAGTAAATACATTATCTTTATTATTTAGCTTACGTATTTTCTTGGCTTTATTTTTCATAACATTATTTAAAAATATTTCTTTATTTAATTTTCTCAATCGTATGTATGTCTAGTACGTACGAAATATGCAACAATTTCTCTAGGAACACAATAATTATTTTTGAAATATACAACACATCTGTTATTTTATCAACAATTTTGTTTTCTTTACTGAAAGAAGTACCGTGAAATTTTAAAAATTCGTCATCTATAATTTCTGCTACATTTTGCAGCTTTTCAGAGGGAACATACATGCAATTTCTTCGGGATATCGTGCAAATCCAATCGTTATTAGGTGGATTTGGCAAATTTTTCGTGGAAACTCCCAAATCACTGTAACGATTGCGGAATCTATGAGCAAAATGACCGGATATGTAGAGAAGTGCATTTTTTTTCTATTAAATCCTGTGCAGACACTCGCTCAAACTCTTCCAATAACTGTACCTCATGCAAACCAGGCTTGTAAAAACTAAGATCTAACACTGCAGATACAGAATTGACGGAAAAGATTAGATGCATGCAAAGTATATAAGAATAAATGAAGATAAATATGCAGAAAGAAAAATATAGAAATAGATGTAGAAAAATATAGAGTAAGCCAGCTATCTTTGTTATTTATTAAAAGAAACTGTTCTCAGTTTTGATACCTTGATCATTAACTTCTTCTTGTTCACTATGTTCGTCTTCTTCTTTACTTCTAATGTTTGTGACATCCTTTAATTGTGGAGTGTGCATAACTGACTCTCTGTTCTCACTTGTTGGGTCATCAAAATCAGTAAACTCTAAATCATATACATCTTCCATATTAATCAATATTTCAGAAGTAGTATCTCCTTCAGTATTTCTGTGTCGTGAAACTACGTGCTGTGAATGCTTCCCTAAGATATACCATTTTAACCAGTTTTGTATTTCTACTTGTGTAGGGTGATCATATGGACCACCTATTGACCTTATAAATGAAAAGAAATTTTCCAAGATGTCCTGGTTCAGTCTTCTCGTTAGTATATAGTTTACTTCAAATTCTTCAGATGAATATTTCTGTTGTATATAAACAAACATTTCTTGCAAGGATCTATTGCATAATATAATTCCCTTCTGGAATTGCATTATACTTGTGGCCAACTCGCATTTCCTCTATAAATTTATCCATATTGTCGATAATTTTATTTTGTTTTTCCAGATTAATGCCATATGCATGCGATTCATCACATTTTCCATATTTCAATTTACTGTTGAAAATGTCAATCATTGATTAATTTCAATACGTCAGAGGTGTGTTTCCAATGTGTACAAGACAGAAAACCGTTTTCTCCACACCATCTTATTGCTAATAGATTCAGATAAGAAAATATTTGTGCAGCCAGTTTTACATTTTGCCGCTGTGTCCCCTTAACATCAATGTGCGTTCTGTTCAGTTTATGCGATATTTTCAGATCCTTTTCATTTAACATCAATAATTTTTCAAGGCACGTTTTATCAAAATAGAAATTCAGTTTATGTTAAATCCGTAGTCTACAAAATTATTTCTTGCGAGTTTTATTAAATGAGGTATATCTGCTGTGGCGGCTCGTCACCAGAGGTCCAAAGAAAGAGACTCGCGCCAATTCTCGCATGTATTCGAGACCATTCATATAGAATCTCGCTCTAAAATATAGAACTGCTCTAAACACTTCTAGGCGTCTAAGGCAGGCTCCCACTACGATGCCTTACTGATGAGTCCAGTAGTGGACATTTTCGCAGAGGCCCACCAAGAGGCCAAACTGCATTAAAAAATATTTTGAGAGTATCGTTTGAAGAATGCACAATAAAACATTTTTTGTCAGTGTTTGCATTCTTTTTGTCATTAAAATTATTATTAGCTCCGATTTGTAATTCATTCCATACTTTTATATTGGTTGGACTCATATCGTACGTTACAGCGATAACAATATAGTCGCAATGTTATATAGATGTTATATGGTACTAAATACAAGTTCCTGAGACATTGGTGTGTCAAAATTATAAAATACGGGTTGCCTCCAATTTTTAAATAAACCTCGTGCCATAATAAATTGGCAGGTCTTTTGAGGTCCATATACTTTTTGTTGCTTGCGTTCAATTTCTAATTTATTACAGATATATAATTCGTCGAAAGTTAGCACGGTCAATTTTTGTATTATTGATAGATCGTTAGCTTTATTCGACATTATTTTTAAAACGTCATTTAAAATACTAGGTGAAATATTAAATTTAAATCAATTCAATTTTGCAAAGTACTTGCTCATGGTAATGGCATTTTCTTGACATTTCTTAAGTATCTGTAAGTTTTAGAACTTATAGCTTATAGGCCTTTTACAATAAGCCATTACCTAAGTTTTAAGTATTAAGTCATAAGAAATTGACCACTCACAGTCGATTATTCTCACATTCGATTGTGATTGATAAATTTCTTATGATTTAACACTTAAAACTTAAGTAATGGCTTATTGTAGAAGGCCTATTAGACTAATTGCAGATACTATATCTTCGGATGATCATCGTATATACGACTATTAATTGATGACTTTAACTTTGCGATTTGGCCTGATGTAAATACTTTTCTTAAAACTTCGATGGGTATTGCATCGGCTTGCTTCTGTCTCAATTGTTTATTTTGTTGTTCCAATATGTCTTTTTCTTTCAATACATTCCTTTTTTCTTCTTCTAATTTTTCTATCTGCATTAATAATGTTTTTATTGGTGCATTTTCCATTGAAAAATTCTGATTGTCAACCTTTCCATTTCTGTAAAAGAAAATGTTTTTCTATGCAAAATGTATATTATATTAGAATTAACATAATAGTGGAGAAACATTTATTACTCACGTATTTTTTTCCATATGTTGCACAGTTTCCTCTGTAATATTGTTTACTTCTTCAATGTTATTAGTATTATCTACAATATTAGTATTTTTCTTATTTTCTGCAGTTTCTACTTCCATATGTTGCACAGTTTCCTCTGTAATATTGTTTACTTCTTCAATGTTATTAGTATTATCTACAATATTAGTATTTTTCTTATTTTCTGCAGTTTCTACTTCCATATGTTGCACAATTTCTTTATGCATCAAACAATGCTTCTCTTGTTCAATACATTTAACAAGTTCTGTGTATGTTGGTACTCCAGTTTTTAATCTTAAAAAGTATGAAGAGATGTTTTATTTCCACATGCATGTGAAAATCACAACATATTTATAAATGTAGAAAATACCTACGGTATATTACTTCCTTTATTCCTTTTCATATTTTCTTTACTCTCAGGCATTCTCCTTTTCTTTTCCAATATTAACATCTTGGTTGGAATAGCATCTTTTTTTAAGCGTTGCATTTCTTTGGCTGCTACATTCTTCAATCTTGGTTTTGTCCACTCCATTATGAAGCAATCATTATCGAAATGATTACTACATATCATTGCTACAATTATAATATATTTTATTTTAATATCTTTGTACAGTAGTTGTTAATATATATTAATTCTTAAATAAGTAGTGGTTAAATTGCAAACTAACGAATGTTTAATTAATTGTATCAACTTTACCCGTATCAACTTTTATATTTGTTTCTGTTCGTTGACTGGCAATGAGCCATTGCTGACGAATAATTTTGTCCTTAGGAAATCGAAAAAATTTTACATTTTTCGATTTGCTGCCAGAGGTACGATTAGTACAATATTTTATACAGCACGTTGGCATTTCTGCAAACTATAATATATTATACAAAACTAAACTAAGGGCCGGTTGTTTCATCTTTCGATAAAGTTTACCTGTTAGGTAAATCTGTCAATTCGCGCACGTGATTGGGTAATCTTGCTACTTACCTAACAAGTAAACTTTATCAAAAGATGGAACAATCGGCCCTAAATGAATAAACGATATTCAAACGGTATTCACTATCAATAAGTTTGATAGCTAGTCAGCTATGTTACATGTATGTATACACGGTCACATGGAAGAAGCATGCAAAGCATGTATCACTTCTTAGCATTTGAGGGCGAACTCTGATTGGTTGAAGAGCAGAACCACTGCGCATCCTCGGGAATGGTAGTATATATATATATCTAGGCCGGTATTCATAATAGTCGGTTCTTATTTCAAGACTGTCTTAAGTATTTCTTAAGATGCTAAAGCGGCCCTCTGATTGGTTCGTAACTCTTCAAGACTGAACTAGAGACCTAGAAAACAGAGATGCGTCATTGAAGGGTATGGCTTGATTGGCTGTCTAAAACACGTGATCAGAGAGCCATTTTAATTCACTATTGCATCTAATAGATATAATTTTATAACGTATGTACATATAATATAGAGAAAAATTTAGACAATACAGTGTCGAAGTGCAATAAAAAACTATTATTATGGTGTAAGTATTCTTATTTGTGTGAATATTTAATATCGGACTTAACCTAACCGAATCTATAATCTTTCTACCTTTTGCATCAACTGTCATCAGCTTATTGGTCAAGAGCACTTATATTGAATTAAAATGGCGGTGGTTACCTAACCCAATCGACGCAATGTCGCATCTCTGTTTTCTAGGCCTCTACATACACCTTGTTTTCTTACATCATGCTAAAACCTAAAACTGAAAACACAATAGGCACAGGCAATAGGCAACAAGAAATAATAATCCGTCCAATCAGAGCTCTGGGATATAATATCGAACATATATCTCAGAGCTTTGATTGGACGGATCATTATGGCTCCAGCACACTGGACGCGGAAACGCTTGCCGCGCGGCAAAATGTGACATGGTAGCCAATGAACTGCATGTTAGGAACTGTAAGCTCAATGGCGTATATAATAAGTAAATATATTATAAAAATGAGCAAATTTTTACTAAAATATTTATAATTTTATTGGTCAGTATTCAGTAAATTTGGTCACTTTTTTTAAATAAAATTTTTCGATTTGCTGCTTAGCTTTTAAGAAAATTGAATTTGAAAATCCACTGCGTATGTAATATACTGTGAAAATATCGAGAGCCAAGATCAATTTTAGTACAAACATTAATCGCGCACGTTCGAGAAATTAAAACACCAAAATATATTGCCAAGGGTTTAGGCATCGATAATTAGGTGGGCACGGTTATGTATTCGACAACGAGGACAACAGTTTCAGCAATACTGTAATTGATAAAATAAAATTTTGTTCACTAAACATATATTATTGTCTTTGCGTGTTTCTTTGACCCTTAGCTTTTAGATTCTGTGTTGTTGTGTAAACATTGTTTATTAAAACTGTACGTAATACGTCGCTCGACGGACCATAGTTTAGTCGCAATAGCATACGTACGCAGTAGATTTTCAAACTTGATTTTCTTTATAATTAAGCAGAAAATCGAAAAATTGTATTCTATATATTTTGAATTTCAAAATTTCAAATCGTATGACAAGTACGCAAGTCATATGTTGTTTTAAAATGGCGGAAATTACGGGCAGCGCGACAGCACCGACATAAACTTGTGTTACGAGCGCTTCGCAGTGTACTTGTCTACTTGCATCATGTCATAAAAGTAGCGAATAGTTACAATATATAAATAAATTTTATTGATATCAAATTTCGAAAAGTCCGACAAGTAATTGACAGTGCATCGGCGTTCTCGTTGTCACGGAGAATTATCATTGTTTTTTTGGTAGTTTTCTGGATTAAAAATTTCACACCAGGATGCCTGGCTGCTGCGTTCCTGGTTGCACCAATTCGAACAGAAAGGGATTTTTAATGAGGAATTTTCCTTCAAATCCTGATCGGCAAAAACAATGGCTCGCCAGTATTGATAGACCGAATTGGACACCTACTATGCACAGTCGTGTATGTGAGGTACGATTTAACTGGGTTTTTATTTTCGTTGTGTATAGAGTGATCAATGAGTTTTTATTTGTAATTAGGTGCATTTCACCAAGGACATGTGGGAGAAGGATCGTTGTGATGGTAAACGCAAACTAAGGTGTAATGCTGTACCTGTGATTTCTCCTAAGCGACACAATGTATCTGTGTCGCAAGATAATTCTGTGTCACAAAAGGTTTCTATTTTGTCAGAAAATTCCAACAAGAACAATGTTGTAAACATGCTTGTTGCAAGCATGACGAATGAAGGAGATGTTAAAATAAATTATCAGTATCAATTACACTCAGACAATATTGAACAATTAAACGATAAACAACCAGAAGACATTTTAAATATGTTCACAATGGTGGAAGAAGAGATAGACTGGCAGCAACGATGCGAGAAATTAAAGGAACTATTAGCAAAAAGCAAAAGTGAGTGTGATAAACTTCGAGATACTATGAAAAAGCGCGAAGAGTTGTTCAATAAGATAATAAGAAAGAGTTATACGTACAAGATGAATTCAGAGAAGCGTTTGAAGAAATTAAGGGAAGAAAATCAGAGTTATAACAAATTAAAAATTAAATTAGGGGAAATATTTAATGAAGATCAGATTAAGGCTTTTACCAATCCAAAAATGAGCTGCCGAGAATGGTCTGATGAAACAATTAAACGAGCTATTCAATTAAGACATGCATGTGGCAGTGTTGGATACCAACAAATTCTAGAGCAACATATTCCTTTCCCTTGTGAACGAACGCTTCAAAGAAGAATGCACAATGTTAAATTAGAAACAAACAATGAACATATTGGAAAGGAAGAAGCAACTGACTCACTTAATGAAGAATTATAATAAGTTATAAAACACTACCAATTGCTAGCTGTTTTGTTGCTTTCTTAGCTGTTTGCATAGCGTTGGGTTATGTATATTTGTTCTTAACCCTTTGAAACTGATTTAGATTCAGTTTGCAAACCAGTTGAGTGTATTATTATAACTAACTCTTGGTACAAAGAGAGGAGAAGATATACTTCTGCATTTTTTTTTACAAAGTTGATTATAGATTTATTGTACCTGTTCAATTATCTCTTTATAGATAATGTAATATCCAATAACAGTGGATATTAGATTCAATTATTTCTTTATATTATATTTTCAAATCTGAACTTTGGCATTAAAATAAATTTAGTGATTATTCTCTTATATACGAGTTTGTTATTTTGATTTCTTCAAATTAATTTGTATCTGTTAATGATATAAAATTAATTACATATTTAGATAAGTTAAATTATTTTAAGAAACTACATGTTTCATATAAGTGGGTTTTGGATCTAGCATCAATAACTGATGTTTATTACAAAAACCAGCTTAAAATTTGAGATCATAGACTATAAATTGAAATTGAACTGAAATTTAATTATTCAGAAGAAAGAGAAACTATTAAGATTAAATTTAACTAATTAAAACAAAGTTTTAATTTGGACAATGTCTAAAATTATTTTTGATGATAGAACAGCAAGCCTAAACTTACCAATGACATCAACTGTATTTTTGAATAATAATGGTAATGTTCAAAATAAAACTGAAAAGATAAAATTCAGTTCTTTATGAAAACTTAAGTAATCAAGAAAATGAAAATATTTTATCATTCGCATCTACTAGTTCAAATAACAATATTTCGAGTGTTAAAAAAAAAAGTACATCAAAAATTTAGAAAAAGAAATAGGCCTATAGATAATTATAGGAAAAGGTATATAGAAATAGAAGAAGAACGAATTAAGAAATTAAGAAAGATAACAGAAGCGCTGTATAAAAATATAACAATATAAAAAAAAAAATTAGAGATATTGAGACAATATTTATTATGTTAGCTCAACGTGGAAATTTAAGTAATATTTTTTATTGTTCTCTCTCTTTCTAAATATTTTTTACTTGATAATTTGTGATAAAAGTTTTAGTTCTTTATATCTAGGCCTTAGTTCCAAAGATATCTAGTTTGAAACAGTATAAATATTAATTTAAAAATTTCCATATTTTGTTGAACAAATATATTTTAAAGTATTCTGCTTGAGCAACACAAAGTTTATTATTACAATGAGTTTTTATAATAACTCATCAATTATGAAAGAATTTGCTATGTTATAAGAAAAATTTATTTTTTGTTTTCTCAGTTTCTTATTTTTTATTCACCTTAATAAATACGTATTTCTTAAGATTTATATTATTAGGTCTACAATTTTGCTCCCACCGTTTTCATATAGACAGTTTTATATCTATAAAAACGGCGGGAGCAAACTTGTAAAATTTATTATTATTTATTATTATTTATATTATATTACAAATACAGAAACTTTACATCAACATACGATTGTTGCAGAAACTAAAAATATTAGTTTATAAAAATTGTAAAGATCTGGGGGGGAGGGTTACATTTATTATTTTGTAATATCTATGGCTGTTTTTTTTTTCACACATAAAGCATACATTGCATTGAGTAATGGCTTAGTTTTTAATTACTACTGTATATTTTAGATAATGTTCTCTACCTATATAATTTTTATTTTATTTAAAGAAAATAAATTAATTAAAAATATATTTTATTTAAAAAATTTTCTACACATGTATATAGTTATATTTTAATGTAATATTGAGGTTATATAATTATTTTCCATTTTGATTCTATATCTCGAAAATTTGCAAATTAACTTCGTTATCTTGATTTTCAATTTGTTTATAGAAGTCTCTGTCTTTTAATTCTAGACCATGTGATTTATTTGTGTTACTTCAATTAATTTTCAAGTTGTATTAAAGAATTCTTTGATTTTTTCTTAAATGAAAATCTGAAAAATCCGGGAATTTACAAAATTTGCCTTAAATATTATGAGATATAATGTTTTCATATTAATAAAAAATAATTATACAGCAATATTTTTATAATAGTTTCAATTCGTTGTAAAAATTGTTTCTTTTAAAAATATGCTTTAAATATTTGAACGATACAAAGATATTTTTTCAGATATTTTTTCAGAACAAGCATTTATCTATATTCTTTCAAATAAAATTTTTTCAATCAAACACTTTTGTATCTTCAAATTTTGCCATGTTCGTTCAATTTGGACTAATTCGTAGAGGATCAAAATCATCGGTCCAATCAACATCAAGCTCGTCTGACTCTGATTGGACCGCGACTATTGTAGACAAAGCTTTATGCGCATCTGTGCGCATCATGCGCGTAACGTGCTTAAATTCTCAGCGAGACTTGTATTTCTGTATATGCCAACTGTTCGATGGATGAACAGGATAGGCAACAAATATCCGAAATTCAAGTTTTATAAGACGTTTGTTTAATTTATTCATAATTCGTTCCGTATTACTGCCAATTACTGCGACATTTTCTTAAAAACAAGACAGTTAATAGAATTACTTCAAAATGGGGAAACGCCAACATCAGAAGGATAAGATGTGTGTTGCATTACTGTTCTTCATACAACCACTGTTGTGCATCCTATTTAGAAAAGGTATCTCTCGCTTTTGCTTTTCAATCATTTTACAACCTTGCAAATTTCTTCAGGTACTTGACGTACACAGAGTGGTCGACGTTGTACGGTGGAAGGAAATCGGGAACAAATCTGGAAACAAGCGAGGAGAAGACATTCAGGCGGTTACCATATGATCACTGCTGTTTGTCTCTCCAACCCTTCGAACATCCTTATTGCGACCCGCATGGCAACGTGTTTGAGCTAGAGGCTGTTTTGCAATACATAAAACAGTACAAGCACAATCCCATAACAGGGAAATCACTGGATGCCAAGAGTCTAGTTAAACTAAATTTTTATAAGAATTTGCAAGATGAATACCAGTGTCCTGTTCTTTTCAAATTATTTACAAAACATTCGCATATTGTTGCTATTAAAACTACAGGAAATGTTTTCTCCTATGAGGTGAGTATACAAAACATATTTCTATTTTTGATTTTATTTTAGAGACTTTTGTCTATTTCTAATATATTTATATATAAAATTATTTTTTTAGGCTGTTGAACAATTGAACATAAAAACTGGGAATTGGAAAGATTTGATAAACGATCAGCCATTCACGCGTAAGGACATTATCACAATTCAAGATCCAAATAACGCAATGAAATTTAATCTGTCTACATTCCATCATATTAAAAATAACATAAGAGTGGAAGACGAAGGTGAGCTTTTCATTGTTCAACAGGAATAAGTTTTGCAGTTAATGTGTGTTTTATTTTTGTAAGTTCTATGTGTATGAATGATATTTTTTAGAAACCGTGAAAGAGAGGAACAATCCAAATGCAAAATTAAGAAATGTATCAGCAGAGACCAAAGAGATCCTGGTTGAATTGGAGAGAGATTACAAGCCGGCAAAAAGTAGCGACAAAGATGAATCTGCACAGAAGGCTGACAAATTTAACGCTGTTAGTATCATTTGTGAAAAACTTAAGTCGCCTGCGCTTAGCAGAAAAAGTAGCTTTGAAACTGTTGTAAAATTTTTTAATATGATTGATTTATATCTAGTGAGGAATTTAGAGCAAGATTAAAATGTATTAAAGAATTTCATAATAGTGTTGCAAAGCTACTTCTATCCTGAATCATGAATGAAGTAGTCATATTAAACATTGGAGAAGTAATTTTATTATTTATTTGTTTGCAGGCGCACTATTCCACTGGTGCGGTTGCTGCAGGATTCACTTCGACAATAATGCCGGCAGAGACTACTCATCAGGCGGCTGTGATTGCGGAAGATTTGGTGCGATATGAGAGAATCAAGAAGAAAGGTTATTGTAATTGCGCTAATCATTACTCGTAATCGAAATAATTCTTATTTTTATTTATCTGTTTTTTTATTCAGGATATGTAAGATTATTTACAAATTTTGGGGCTTTAAATCTGGAACTTTATTGTGATCTGGTTTCGAAAACATGTGAAAATTTCACGAAACACTGCCAGAATGGTTATTACGATGGCACAAAGTTCCATAGGTCGATACGAAATTTTATGGTAAATATATTGAGCCTTTTAAATATGTTTTTAAATTTAAATGTTCATATTTAATATTTTAATGTTTTCATATTCTTTTTATTTTTATTTTTTTATTTTATACAAATATTTCGTTTTTCCACAGATTCAGGGTGGTGATCCGACCAATACAGGTAACGGCGGCAAATCCATTTGGGGTAAACCGTTCGAGGACGAGTTCAAATCGAATCTGGTTCATCAAGGCAGGGGTATTCTGTCTATGGCAAATTCGGGGCCAAACACCAATGGATCCCAGTTGTAAGATTAAACAGAAAGAGAAAACAAAGAACTTGCATTTTGCAATTGTGTTGCGACATTCCTATTTAATGTATTATTATTGTCTTTTTAGTTTCATCACATTTCGATCGTGCAGACATCTCGATCGTAAACACACAGTCTTTGGAAAGATCGTTGGAGGTCTGGACACGTTAAACGCGATGGAGAAGGTGGAGGTGGACAATAAAGACAAGCCGATAGAGGATATAGTCATACAGAGTGTTCAAGTTTTCGTGGATCCCTTCCAGGAAGCCGATGATCAGCTCGCCGCAGAACGAATTGCCGAAGCGGAACGATTAGCTCAAGAAGCGAGTCAAAATAAAGCAGCTGACAAAAAGGACAAGAATGACACTCAAAAGGTCTACCGATCGGGCATAGGAAAATATGTGAAATTGGAGCAGGAGAAGTAAGATCTTTGTTACACTTTCATATGTGTAAACCAAGATTTGTTAGTTTTAATTACTTACGCGGTGTTTCATTCGATTTTTAGATTGGACAAATGGGATGGCAACGCGGAGCCTGTAACAAAGAAGAAGAAGGTCTCGTCGCATTCATATGGAAATTTCTCTTTTTTCAATTTCTAATGAATTCATTAGAATAATTAGAGTATTAAATGTATATAGCACATGTACATAGTCTAGTTTGTAATATATAACATTTCTGGCAATTTGCTGTATGTAAAACCTCTGGCGTACTCAAGTTCTTATTAAAGAGTCAAAAAACGGAAATGTTATTGCTGATGGAAAATGGTAAGGAACATTGAATATTATGTTTTATGTATATATGTATATATATATATATATATATATATATATAAGATTGCAAATTTTCATCAATAAGAGATTGAATAAAGAGTATTTATTAATTAAAGGTATTTGTGTTTCTTGTTGAAAAACTAGAAAACAATAAAGGAAATGGACATAATTTTTGAAGTCTTGAAAAAAAAAGTAAACAAAAAACAATATTATGGCTCAGCAATAATTTAGTAATGGCAATAAGAAGGGCTATAAGCCAAAACAATTTACTCTTTAATAAAACAATAAACTATTTACATACAAATGCTTCGACACTGATCGAGTTATTATTATCAATGTTAAATAAAAATTAAAAAGGCTGATAAATTTTGAGACAGAGACAGAGAGAGAGAGAGAGAGAGAGAGAGGGGGGGGGAGTACAAATCTACAAAACCTTGCGCAGTCTTTTATTAAGATGTTGTATTACTATTATTATGAGATCCTTGATTAGGTATCTGGTATATTGACGAACATTAGTATAGAGCCGAGAAGTTACTGAAATCTTCTGTGAGTCAAAACTACAAAGCGTATTCTAAATCTGAATTAAATTAATAAAATTAACACTAATAGTTAAAAGAAAAAAAGCACATTGCGATCTGAGTCAAGAGTGTACAATTAATTGCAACCATCTCTGGAGACTGAGATTCTTAATAAAAAGTAAGTCAATTAAAAAAAAAATTAAAGTCAATCTGTATTGAAAAACGAGCACATGTTCCATTTCTGCCAATGTAGATTAATTTTAGTCACAATTTAAATTACCCTATTTATTTTGTAATTCCTAGAACTAGAAGAGAAAAAATATAAATTAAATTGAGATTACAGTTAATTTATATTGGCGTAATATATTTTTTATATTTCTGCACAAAAATCTGCGATCACACAAAGTATATTTAGGGGCTCCGCGATGCCTAAAGCGGCTACTGATCCGGTCGAGGACCGGAGCCTCCATGTTTGACGTTTGCGGCGTGCGGGCGTGCGAGTCGGAGTGGAGCGAGTTATCCAGCACACACGTCGGTGACAAGGGCCGTGTTCCTTCGGCGATCGGCACGAGCTGTTCGGGTGGGTGAAGGTGGCCGTGGTACCCCGGAGTTTCGTGGGACGGAGATCCCGGCTCGCATCATGGACGATCTGGGTGAGTAAAGCTTGGAAAGGTAGGAAAATTCCGTCCAGACGCTGAGTTAACCTCCCACAAGCGCGCCTAGCCTGTCATAAGGACGACGCAGGGATACTGCTACTCGTCGATCCGTGATAGAATCGCGTGGGCATCCGCATCGCCGAGTATCGACGAAACCGGATCTCCTTCGTCAGGTGACATTTACGAGATGTTTTCATTCGGATCTGTCAAAGACGATTACTGGAATCGAGGTTACGTTTTCTCTTTTTTTTTTCTTTATTGAAGGTCTCGTCACTCTTTGAGATACATTTGTTTGCGTTTGCCAGGTACTTGTCAGCATTCTGCGGAGCACGTTTGGTACTATTATGCTATCATCGAGAACATTGACAGTTTGAGATGCATTTCTTTTTACGTCTGTTAGGAATGTTGAAATTTATTGATAAGAATACCATCGCCTTAATTCTTCCTCCCTAAGTGATCAGTAAAGATATCATTGCTTTGAGATGCATGTTTTCGAGATTAGATTGTCATTCAGCAATGAATATTACTGTATCTTTACTGTATAACAATGAACGAGTCTCATGAAATGCAAGCAATTATTTAAAATTATACTAATACAGGAAAGTATGATTTTGTTGAAGTAGATATATATAGATATAGATTTAAAAATAATTTTGTTAAACCATCAAAATAATTATGTATGACGTTCAAATATAATGAGTAATGCTGTACTAACGTATAAGTTTAGGCATTCTAATAATCAGCTTGAACATTATTTTTACATAATTATTTTGATGACCCAACAAGATTAATTTTAAATCTATATTTAGCTAAATTTTTATATATGCTTTAGTGAAACTTTTTTCTGTGTGTATATAATTAGAAATAATTGTATTAAACATTATTTATATATATATATATATATATATATATCTATATATTCTTAGACACACAACGACACCGAGGAAGATTAACCCTATTCGTGTATCCCCTGAACGACTCTCTCGTAGTTTTGCCGGCAGTTCTCCCGACTCGTTTCCAATTTGCTAACATCATCGCGAATTCGCATAGAGAACCGTGGATAAAGTATGCTGAGTATCCGCGAGAATGAGGAGAAAAGCTGCGAAAAGCTGGAGGGGCATGGTCGCGATCGCGACTATTATCTCGTACTCCTATATGGCGAGAAGGCCTCATTGCATCAGTGTTATGCCAACTGTACATTAGTTTGTCACGTACTCGTTATGGTACTGCAGCTCGGTACATTCGTGACGTGAGGCGGGACATTTCACTTTACGCGCGCGGATCGGAAATACGAGACGTCAAGCGCTGAAAGGATAATCTCGAGCAAACGGAGAGGAATCCCTTGTGTACGATACGAACGTTATAGAGTCATGTGATTTATACAAGTTAGAGATGAAATGTATTCGTAATATGTGTTTCGAGTTAAGTGCGAAAGACAGCCGCATTTCAACGAGAATATTTTAATGTGAATGATATTTCTGTACCATTTTGCTTTCGACGTCTAGTTGCGGTTGTTAACATACTTGCGATACGATCAAAAAGAATATTCTAATATACCGCATGTACTTCACCGTTTAAACGCGTGTATTCCTAAAAATTTTGTAATCTTAAAAAATGTAATCCTTCGTCGGCGTGCAAGAATTAATCGCTATAATTCGTGTAGGAAGAATCGGGCCATATAGAGAGCTTTTCAATAAACGACACTGTGTAACGCAGTCATCATTTCATCTTTGTTTAATATTGGCGAATAACAAGGATATAAAGATTCACTGTGTTATATTGTGTCATCTTACTGGAAAGCTTGTACATATTTAACTCTGGTGTTGAATTCACACCTATATTTTTGTAGAGTATGCAACAGAAAATGTCTCTTTTATAGTTGATCCAGTGTACATTTTTGGAACTTAAAGTTAGATAGGTATAAGTTTGATATTTGGCAATCCTAGTGCAGGAAAAAACAGACCTAATGCTATCTTAATATTGAACTGTTCGTTATAAATGAACCTTCTTTAATTAAAAATGACTCCTTCAATCAAATGTTAAAACGTATGTGACAGAGTGATTCTCTCTCGTGAGAGATTAATGTCGCGTAATTCGCGAAGTGCGCTAATCTTTAGGGGTCGATGAATACTCGCGTTGATAACACGGTAACCCTGATAACGATGGCAATGCCGGCGGCTCGATATGCCGTATCTGATCGCCGAGATATATTTTTATTGCTCCGGAAATAAATCGGTGGGCTCGAATTTAGTTAAACCCTCCGAAGTTGACGTCAAAATCTGTAATATATATAGCTACTGACGTTGGATCTGTAACACCCCCACGGCTTTGCTGAAGTATCCAAAAACAGCTAAATACAGGTCTGAAAATTTTATTTGGAGTATCAAAATGATACATAAGATATATATATATATTTTTTTTTCTATATGTATATAGAAGCCACTACGGATATTATGTTCCATCTCTCTTTCTTTCTCTCTCGTGGCGTCTCGTCTTTCTATATCTACATTTGTCTTCCCTTCGCTATCCACTCCCTCTCTCTTTCTCCGTCTATTTATTTATCTGCCCTTTCTTATCCGTCTCTCTCTCTCTCTATTCCGCTCCACCTATCTTTTCCGCAACGATTTTCTTTCCTCTTCCTCCTTTCTACGAAAGCGGAGACAGTGGCCAAGACGAAAGAGGTCGAAAGAGAGCTCTTTCTATGACACTGGGCGCGGGTGAGCGCCGGAAATATACCCGCGCGTGGCATCTCGTCTTACTCTTGTTCGCTGGCGTTCACCAAGCCGGCATCGTCACCAAAGAGCCGCGCGTCGTCTCCGTGTTGCTCGTGGCAGTCGCGACAAATTTCCCGTCGCGTCGTCCCGATACGCGTGTTCTCCACCGCGCGTCAGCGTGTCGGGCTCCTTACTCGGTTCCGGAGGGAAATCGCGTCGCTGCGCCGAATCGCTCGTTCATTTCTGCGGATAATCCATCACGAAGATGCCCCAGTGCAAATTCCGCTGTGGATTCGTATGATCACGTAGTTACACAGTCGCGTGTTCCTTTCCGAATCTCCCGAGGACGAATCTCTTTTTGGCTTTTGGCTCCTAATCTTGAATATCATTCAACTGCGTCGTCAACTGGAGAATGCATTTTCCGCAGAAGATTGAGAAACGACCATGTATTTTTTGAGAATCATATAAGTTTTTGAAACGAATGCCACGATTAGCCTTCAATCGTTCCGGTGAAGTGTGAAAGGTTCAAAGTCACCCTCTGCGAAATGTGCGATAGTTGCCAAGTAAATCACGTTGCTGACGTGCATTATCGCGATCTATTGATTTACTCGAAGAGAGCTTGGCGAGGTGGTCCGAATGAAATTTACGCGGTGTTAAAATTAGTCTTGTGATCCACTTGAACCTTACTAACACAGTTAAGGACTAACTTCTTTCGTTGAACTGTCGTGTAAATCATTTCGCTCAACACAGTGCTTGGGAACGCTTCATTTCTTCCTTATACTCTTCTGAATCTAGAGTTCGTTGCCCCTCGTAGTTATAAAGACAGACAGGGAAACAGACATTCATTCTCATGAAATATCTACGCGATTGTGATCACTATTTTTAAGATCTTACAATTAGAAGAACAAGTATAATTTGAATCATATTTATTTATAGAAAAAGAACGACTTCACTGAAGTATTTAAAGATTTAGTTAGATACAGATTCAAAATTAATTGTGTAGGACGCTCGAACTGCAATGATTACTGGAATGTTCAAACTTTTTTAAACATTGCTCATCACGTTTGAGATTCCTTACTTGTTTTGACCGTCAAATTATTTTCGGATTT